TTTCATGGAAACACTGTACTTTTGACATTTGCGATACTCCGACGCATATGCATTATTGATGTAATCTCATGATTTTACAGTAATAGTTTTTGCAATTTTAGTGTGATTTTTAGGTTATTATGGTTATTTATTTTATTTGGTTCTGATCTTTTACGCTTTTATAGTATTTGTCTTTTATATAGTTTTTAATTTGAATTTTAATATTGTGGTCTATTTATATTTGATTGCTGCTTTTCGACTAGTGCTTTATTCTTTTTGTGTTAAAATAAGCTTTATAACCATTAAGTACATGCTTCTAGTTGATATCTACCTAATCGTCATCGGGTGCTTGCAACAATGGGAAAAAGTGTATGGTTTTTTTGGTGTAAAGTTAGACGCCTTCATTTTTCAGGTAAGTTATTTGTAATTATTTTTTACTTAAAAGGATAGCAATACGTCCTGGTTCGGGGTGTGACTTTTGGGTTTTAGCTATCTGAGCCAAATTGTCGGCTAAGTGTCCTCTTTTAGGGCACCCAGAACCGAAAACTATATAGGTATATGTTTTTTTTTTTAATTATTTTTTAATATGTATGCAGCTTGGATGAGGGCTTTAGGAAGAGATCCTAAGACTGAACACTGACTGCTATAAATGCCGTTTTTAGAGCACATTTCATAGTAAGTGATTTCATTCTAGCAGCAATGAGGAAACGTTTAAAAAACATGCTGTACCAGCTATTACTTTAAGACCTCGTCTCTTTAAGTTATTATTACTTCATTCTAATGCATATATTAAAATGGTTTTTAACTTATGTCCTTATGATTAAAAGATGTAGGTATTTTAGTTATGTTATAATAGAAATATATGATACTTTGTATTGACTGACTTACTGGCCACTGGTCATTCCACTTTTACTCCCTTTTTTCATAAATTATCAAATTATTTAAAAACAAATACATACCTAGCTATTTTCTGTAAATTACATTAAAATTTTAGTATTAATACTTTACTAATAAAACTTAATTAATTAAGTTAATTTATCTTATATATATACACACAACGGAAGAGTTAATTGGATTTTCTCCTTGTTGAGTTTCAAAAATAGTAATTTAACATGATTTAAAAACAAATACATGAAATGGGCAAAATAGGCCTGCAAAGGCACTTTGTAAACAATCTCACTTGTATCGATGTGACGTAATGCGCGAATTCAATCTGGCTTACTTTTGTTAATAGATTGGCGTTCCATTTTAAATATACAGTTCACCGGGAATAGATTATTTAAATATACACGGACCGGGAAAACAAGTACGAAAAAATTCACTGGCTCCTGGACTAGTACTGTATCGAAGGAATGTTAATGAATGAAACAATATACGACCCTCCACAATTGCGGTCTACTCTACTTCCGCTGTTGTCAGACATTATTTTTTTTTGAAAAATTTAAAGACCTAACAGTAATTCAAGCAAACGCAATAACATTACTACAGTTAAAAACATCGCAAACTTGGCATCAATATTTTAATTTTATCCAAATATTGCATTTCTGTCGAGGATCATCCGCGTTGACTTCAGAAATTGTGTAATCTGTATTGGTTATAGATATCTATAGTTAAAAGCACGTAAACTTGGCATCAATGTTCAATCCGATTATTGAGTTTCTACTGCGGACACCACCATTCATTCTTCAAAAATTTTGTAAATAATCCTATCTGTCTTGGTTATATATCTATAGTTTAAATCTATTTTAGTTTCCAAGTATTTGCTTTTTTCATGTTTAATTACATTTAGTCAAGTTATTAAGTATAGGTCTTTTAGTAATTTTATGATCACCAAAATTTCAACTGTAGCTGTAGAGAACTTAACGAATTTATATTGGGAAAAGAAGAACTCTCCCCCTCTTGCAAATGCTTTTATTGATACTAGTCCATATAATAACCAAATTGAAAAATTTCAGAAATTACCCATATATGAAATTGAATTCAAAATTCTGATATCAAACCAACCATTATTATTCCGAAATACTCAGATATTGCAAGCCTTACGAAAACTATCTTTAAATCCGTACTCAGTAATTTGGGAGATAATTTAACTACTATTTATACAGATGGATCGAAAAATGGTTTAGGTACTGGCTGTGCATTTCTTGTTTCAGACACTAATTATATAGAATCATTTAAATTACCCTGCTTCCGTTCTATATTCACAGCTGAAGCAGTGGCGATTCTAAAAGCCTTAGATTGGTGCAAAGCAAATTCATTTCAGAATATAGTTATAGTGTCTGACTCCCAATCAGTTCTGCAGGCTATTGATAGCCCTTCCATAAGTCAAAACAAAAACGCGGTAATAGTATCCATTAAGAAAATTATATTTGACCTTAAATAGTGTAGCGTTAAAGTTTCCTTGGTTTGGGTTAAAGGACATTGTGGCATTGCAGAAAATGAACATGTGGATGGGGCTGCTAAAGAAGCATGTAGTTTAGAACAAATTACATTATTTTGTAGTTTTATAGATATTATTAGCATTTATAAAAAATATGTAAGAAATAGATGAGAAATTAAATACACTGAGCATGCGAAGGCATCACAAAGTCACTATTATAGTATACATCCAAATATTCCTTACATCAGTTCATGGAACTATAATAAATATCAGTCATCTATAATTACTCGTTTGAAGCTCAATCACGGCCGATTCCCTGTACATTTATATAAAATTGGAATATTGGATTCTCCCTTTTGTCCATATTGCAATATAAACGGTGTAGCAGATATCAATCATTTATTTTTAGATTGTAATAAAAATGCTCAACATACCACCGTATTATATCAAGATTTAAATAAACTTTCATTCCCACTTCCACTCAATATTTCTTCACTTTTAGTTCAATCAGATAAGATAATTTTTGACGCTATTATTAAATTTACTCAAAATACTAAAATAGATACTTAACATAATATATTTGAAAATTATTAAGTTTAAACTTTCTGTGGTAAATAGACTTGCATGTCTAATGCCATCCCATTACTAAAAAAAAAAATTACATTTAGTCCTATTACATTTATATATTTGCCAGTTTTCCTCTGATTTGTTAGTAATAAATGTTTTATAACTTTTATCTCCCACACTAGTAACAGTTCTAACCTAATCATTCCACCAGTTCTGATAATATGGTGAAATTTTAACTTGTTTTTTTTGTGCCACTTCATTGACAACTTTCAAAATTTTATCTAAAAAATCTCTGTATTTTTCTTTAATATCATGTAACCAATAATTTCAAGTAATATATTTTATATTATTATTAATTATTGCATAATCAATAAATCTACCTCTACTTAAAATAACTATCCTTTCCCTTTTCTGTTTTTTTTTTTGTTTGTTTGTTTAGTTTTGCAATAATATTTATGTGACTACTGATTCTTGGTCTATTACTTCAGTTGTAATGTCTGAGTTTGTAATAATTAAATCAATTAATGATCCTCCATAAGTAACAATATATTTTAATCTTTCTGAATAAGTTGGAATTACTATACCAATTAATATTTAAATCCCAACCAATATAACTTCTAACTTATCATCAGTTAAATTCAGCTCACACCATTCTTCAAATGAGTCTAGAAACAAATTCACTCCAGTACTAAATCTATAAAGGCATACTATCTTAAACTTTTTGTTATTATATAAGAGTTTTTCTGAAATTAACCAATAAGTCCTATCTAAAATTACTTTCTTAATGTCTAAAATTTGTAATATCCAATTTACATAAAAAATAACTCCCCCAGTATGTCGACTGTTGCTATCAGCTCTACATATTACATAACTTAATATTTATTTCATTATTACATATATCTGAAAATAAATGCGTTTCTGACAGGCAAACTATCAGTGGATTTTTATTAATAACATTTTTAATTTCTTCAAAATGCACAGTTAAACTTTGACAAGTCATTTACAACAAAAAAGTATCTAGTCTATGATTATTTGTCCCATTTGATATTCTCCTAAAAAAAGGAGAATGCCACATAAGTATACAATAAACATAAATTTAAAATAAAATAAAAATACATAAGTATACAGTCAACATACAGGTAAAATAACATGTCAATTTTTAAAACATAATAAAAGAAGAAAAAACATCAAATGGTCAGTATTCACCCAGTTTTCTTTTAAATATTGCTGCATTTGAAGAGCATGAATGAATAGAGCATAATGAATGGATTAGTTTAGTAGTTTTTCATCATTGGGTGAACCCAAGAGACCAAAGAAAATACTGTTTCTCTGAAGAGGTCAAAAACTGCATATATTTGCTACAAATGTTCAAATCCTATTTACCCGACTTGTTTAAAAAAAGTTTCTTAGATGTGTGAGAAAAGAATAGTGTATATATTATTTTTATGCTAAGCAGGTTTTTGGTTATTACGGATTTTTCAAATTTTATTCTTTCTTTATAGTATCGAATCATTTCAGGTTGTGTTTTTATTAAATAATCATTAGGAACAGTTCCTTCTTATATTTTTAAAAAAAGTAGAAATGATTCACGTTTTTTAGCAATATATTGTTAATGTAAACATTAATCTCAAAAATGTAAGAAAACCTTTATTTCTGATATTAGCTCTAACGTTTATAAAACTATTTAGGTATACAATATACAATACATATTTGAAAATAAAAAAAAATAATGAAAAATATTTTTTTTATAATTACGATATTACAAAAACTAAAAATTGTAAATAGTTTTTTAAAAATGGGAGTATATGGCCAAAAATGTTCTAAAACATCGAATTTTCAAAGTAGTATTATTTTTTACAAGAAATTTTCTTATTCCTTCATCCAATTTTATACAAACAATGCTGTAACAAGTTTTATTCAAACGATAAGAGAATATAGTAGATATAGTTTACCTGCTAACTAGTTGACAAAGATGTAAAATTTAAATAAAAAATAAAATCGTATGTATTTTTAGTTTCCAATTGGAGGTTATGTTATTTAACTTTTAACTCCAAAAATGCTCCAATTTCACACACAAAAAGATGTCGGATCGGAATGGGTAGACATGTAGAGAACGCCAATGAGATCGGAAATAAAACCGGAAAAACACGAAGTCAGAAGTTAGGCAGCATTGCCAAATTGCCAATTCAAATTCATATATTCAAATTATGAAAATTACTAGAAACTAGAATAGAAACGAGTAATTCATGAACTTTTGTAATATTGTAATCAGAGGACCAGGAGGCATTTAAAAAAAAATATGTTGAAAAGAAAGCATCTGAGATCGAGTGTACTGTATCTAGTTGGACCACACCACTCACCAGGTATCAGGATCAGCTGACGACGCTGTCGAGGCTGACGGCCGTTCACTAAAGACTTGTTTTTTTTATCTTTGGTCAAAGTCTAATCGGTTTAATCATTTACATAGAGAAACTGATAGGTAGGTACTCTACAAATCCAAATAAAGTGGATTAATCAGTATGTATTTACATATCAATCAGATTTCAAAGTGAATGTAGGTACCTGTTTACATTTTCCATAAATAATTTTAAATATGGGAGAAGTAGATGGAAATACTGTTCTTGCTCAGGCTCTTAAAAAACAAGTAAGTAATAGATATTTTAAATAAATAATACTATAATTTTAATAAAATGTAAGCATGTTTCATGTTTTGCGAAAATGTACAAATATAGAGGCGTAAATAAATAAAAGTAGACCCTAGACCTCATATGCAATTGCAATGATGTCAGACTTACAAAATTTTCTTAAATCTCAACAAGTACTTAGAAGTCTAGAAGATCATTGATATCCATGATCATGATCCGTACAGGGCCGTAGCCAGAACCAATTTTTAATTTGAAATAGCTAGGGCACATCGTCAGGTGGGTCAAGGCGGGTATGGGATAATAATAGATACGTGTAGGGGTTCGAAAATTGTTTTTCCAGAAAATTATTTGCAAAATGATAATAATAATAATATAACATTTTTTTAAATAAATAAACTAACATAGGTTTTCAAATACCTTTTTTATTAAAATTCATGAAACTGAAAGGAAAAACAAAACACGATAAAATTATTTAGTACAGTTATTGAAGCCTTTGATTTGCCATATTGTGAAATTTTCGTAGAAAAATGCAAACCATATAGATAATTAAAAAGTCTACATTGGCGGTATAATACATATATTTACTGGTTAATAATAAAAGAACAAAACTTTGAAGGTAAGTACAACTCGTTTTATATATTTGATGATCTTTTTTATATGGGTACCACGGAAGATATAGTTTAAAGTTTAAACTTTCTAATAGTAGTACAAAACAAATTCTAATTGAATATATTTCATCTAAAAGTATCGAGGCCGTATGCCGGCTAAATAATTTTTTTTCTATCGTTTATTACTTTAAAACATTATATATCGGACGATATATTTTCCTCAAGTTAGGTACCTAACATAATTTTGAAGTATGTATAACCAGTAGACTGCCTAATAAATTACTTCAAATTACTTTTTATTTGCATTTAAAATTGTGGCCAACTACTGAATTATTCCAAAATCTATTCAAAATTCCAAGTTTACTTTGGTATTTTTTTAAGGAACCTTTTTTCATTTTACATTATCTTCTGGAGAAGAAAATGAAAAAAGAGCTCTTAGCCATAACAATTGGGAAAAATGAAGCCCAAAACTGGGTAAAAATATAGACCGAGAACTGATGCTTGTTTTGTAGTTTATAATAAAAACTATATAATATTAAAAGTAAAACTTGAATGTCCAAAGATTAGAATGAAACCAATAATTAATTAATTAATTGTGTTCTAAGTACTACTTTTAATTGACACTCAAACATAAAGTTCGTTAAAAAAAGGCCGACAACTGGCGAAGTCACGGCTATCTACAAAAACGGAAATAGTGGACCGGTGGACGTATTGTACTCAAAAAAAAACTCATGAAGCATACGCGTAAGTACTACTTCATGGTCATCCTGTATTAATAGCTATATCATTATTACCATATCGTTGATATAAATATACCTGTTTTGTTTTATTTGAAATCAAATTCAATTTTATATATTACTTATTTGATTATTTAAAAAACAAAACAAGGTAATCTAGCCCAATTTAGAAGAATATATAAGAAGTTTAATTTCTTAAAATCAAATATATTACTTTAATCCTTTTTTTTATATAAAATTACCCAAAATATCTTGAATTTAATTATGTTTCGGTCACATTTGATTAAAAAAAATCAGTTGCATAACAATTTTTTATAGATTGACTTCCGGAAAAGTCAAGCTTATAAGGACTAAAATATGAGACGCCTAATTATATTTATACATGAGCTAAATAAAGAGAGACTCTCCTGAATCAGGCGTCTGTTTGCCATGATTGGACATATGGATACATTTCTACCTCTAGTGGGCTACCTCTCTCTAATCAATACCATCGCTTATTCTATACAGTTCTTCTGGCGTAATTGTAGGACACAACATACTGTATATGAGGACTGTTCTTTTCACTAAGCCTATCTAGTAGGCGATCGATGATATTTTCGCAACAAATTTAGTCTGACATTCCAATGAAATTTGTCAAATATACAAGCATTGACATAGAATAAAGAGGAGATGACGATACATATCCTACCTCCATGGATGATACTAAAAGTGTCCCCACCTTTGCTTTACACTTTAAAGTCATATGCCAAACTCGAACTAGTCAGTTTTGGTTAGAATAAATGCTATTTTTTTTAAATAGCTTCATTTAAATGATGTAATAGCTATTGTGTATTAAGATCGAAAAGTGCGATACTTTGCCACTTGAGACAAAAAGCAGCAACGAACTTTTCACTCAAAATGCACACAATATTTTTTTCTACGATCACACTATTTTAAGAAATACATATCAAAACTGAAAATATCAAATGAATTTTATTTAATTGCAAATAGCCTATTTTAAAAGTCCAAAAATTGCGTATCGTAAATATTATATTGCCTACCTCCTGATATTGTTTATGAATATATGGTTTAATTTCGCTAAGAACTAATTATATTGTGAAAATATGGTAGAAATTAATTTTTATTTACTAAATATATTCATTTTCCTGCAACATATGTTCAATTTACATGCTTTTCGCCATAAAAAAGGAGGCGAGCAACAAAAAGCTGTCAATTTCGTCGCGTGGCGAGTGACAAAGCTGTCACTTAATTTCAGTTCGCGGAATTCGTCAACTTTGCGGTTGGATTTCAAAGCGCAAAAGCCTACTTTGGATCCTACATTTTCATTTCGTCAATCTTAAAATATAAATATATTGACTTCAAGTATATACTTTTCCATCACTCGAAGTGCGTCTATCTGTCATATCGCAAAGTACTGTTTTTGTTGTCTCTACTTTATTCTATCTTGATGAATTAAGGTACCATTTGGGAACGCGAGACCTAGATATGCGACCGAAATGTGTCTCTTACGTCTGAATCGAATGTAATTAAATGAAGCAAATTTGGGACAGCGCGACCGATGCATGAGAGGCGACAGCACTTTTAACACGCGAGTAAGTGACGGAAATGATCACGTAGCAAACTAGGACTGTAATATTTTATAATTTCAAGGCGTGGTTTAAACCGTAGATAATGTTTTGAGGAAATGGTGACAAAAATCTCGTGTTCCTTCGCTACCATAAAACAGTGGTACAATTAATTTTATCGTGGTCGACTTTCCTTAAATGATAGTTTTCGAGATCCTAACTAAAAAATGGCAGTTACAGTAAACAATATTTATCATATTCGGAACATGATTAAAGAAGACCGGCACATTATACTGTCAGACACATTCAAATAACTTTAAAGATTGGTGTGAAAGTAATTATTATACTATTTTACACAAACATTTGAAAGTCTGTAAGCTTTGGTCTCGGGGATTCCCCACAACTTGACTTTAGGCTCAAAAAGATGATGCAGATCTACATTAGATCGCTTTGACCGCGGATCGTCTAATTTGGTGTACAACATCATCATCACAGGTGATGAAATATGTTCCCTAAAAAAGGTAACAATCGTCAGATTGGGTCTTTGAGAATGAGTCGGCTCAAACAAAAGTTGTTCGTGAAAAAGCCGAAACAAAAAGATTGTCGCCAATTTTTTTTTAATTATTGGATATGTTTCCACTGTATCATTAGAGGATAGACGTACTGTTAATTCGGAATGGTACACTACAGTTTGTTTGCCTTGTTATCCAAACGGTTCGTGTAAAACGTCCAAGAGAAAGGATCATAACGCTCGGGCTCATACTACTACTGCTCGAACAAATGAGTATTTCAATGCCCAAAACTTAGAAATAATGGGACATTCGCCGTATAGTACAGACCTAGCACTTAATAACTTATTCTTATTTCCGAGGGTAAAGGATAAATTACGGAGTTTACGTTTTACATCGACCAAAGAAGTGGTTGATGCTTTAACAATTAAATAAACAAACTACGGCAGCAGATTGGAGAAAATGTTTTCAAGAATTGGTTTCGCGGATGCAAAAATGCATTGACTGCGGAGGGGAATATAATTGAATGTTTTTTGTATATAAACTGTGTTTTACTTTACTATGTGTAGGCTCAACGAAAAGAAGAGGTAGGTGTAGGTACTGTTGCCTTTATCTTTATACAGACAACGCGATAGGTCTTTCACTCTTGGAAACTTGGCAATTCAAGTAAGATAATGCCAATAGAATGTATACGTTTTATGCAGCATTACTTGGAATTACTTGGCATTACGACGGCATTAGGGGTTATCTGGAATTACAGTAGCAGTACTAGGAATTACGTTGGGATTGTTTTAAACACATGCGCTTCAACCGTCAATGTTTATACTTTATTTGTATTACTATTATTTTTTTAGTTTATTTATTCAATAAATACGGATCTGGAATTTTTATTTTAATTGTTTATACTGATTTTCATCCTGAATATAACCATCTAAATTAAAAGCACTGTACTAAAGTGTAGACTATGTGTACGTGGTAAATGCGAGATATGTCGCCTTTCGGAGGAGACGTAACCGTTGGTTCTGAATCCAGAGATGTTAGATGTAATTAATAAATTACATGAGCGGCTACTCTTTAAGGCCGCTCGACCCTCCTCAAAAATACAAGAGATAGCAGATAATAAAATCCTAATTAAAAATATTTATTTGTTTATTTTATAATTTTTCCTATCATCTCGACATATGCTATGAGTATTATTTATTATGTCCCCTCCAAATCCTTCCTATAATAACAATTTATTAGCTCATTGACTGGACTAACAACGGCCGTAGTAAGATAGAGGCCCGCGTCTCTATGGAAACAGAGTGGGACACCCGCTAACAGAACGTCTTGCAGTGCTATTTTACGTATTTTTTTGTTATTATTTTGGTAGTTTCTCGTATTATTTTAGTAATACCTGGTATTATTTTTTGCTGACGATACCCAACTACACCCACAGACCATAATGACTACACCCACAGACCATAATGACTACACCATTCATTTCATTCCATTAATGCAGAGGTAGCAAGTAAAGCGGTTAATAAGGACCTAGCTAGAATAAAAACATTTTCCTTGGATCATAATCTGCATTTAAATCCATCAAAATCCAAATCAATCATATTTTCTAATGCCCAATCTCGATCTTATATTAAAAATAATTTTTCCATAAAACTTGATGATGAGACAATTCCTATGGTACATGTAGCCAGAAGTCTGGGCTTACTACTGGATGAGAATCTTCGATTTATTGAACATATCAACAGTTTGTCCACTCAATGTTATCTAATTCTCAAACTTCTATACGCTAATAAAGATTTGCTCTCAATGAATATGAAAAAATACTTAGGTGAAACTCTAATCCTTAGCAAAATTTCTTATTGTCATATAATTTTTTATCCTTGTCTAGATTCAATAACATCTATAAGGCTTCATAAAATTCAGAATACATGTTGTCGATACATATTTGGTTTACGCAAATATGATCATATTTCCCAAAGCTTTAAAAAACTTCGGTGGCTAAATATCAGTAATCTGTATAAGTATCATTTGCTATCATTGGTGCATAAAATAATACACACTCAAAGTCCAATATATCTCTCTCGTAGGTTAATTTACAGAAATCAAATGCATAATATTAATGTACGTGAGCAATCTACGTTAACAATGCCCCACCACACACATGCTATTTTTGAACGCAGTTTCCCATACTGTGCTGTTAAATATTACAGTGATTTAAAGAATACCCATTCATATACTGATTTCAAGCGTAAGCTCAAAAATATCCTGCTTCATCAACAACGATGATCAAATTAAATTGTGTAATTTTTAATTTAATTTATTAATAATTCAATTATTATTTATTTGCATTAACAGTTTAGTTAAATGATTGTTTTTTTTTAATTTTTATTATAGTTTTTTGTTTTTATAATATTATTTATCGATCCTGTTACTAAAAGGGTTAGATGGAAGAATAGCTGTAGGCTAAATCTCGCCCTTACATTGCATTTTTGTAATTTTCAAAAATTTGAATAAAGACGTTTTATTATTACGAAGAATTACTATGAATTACCGAAGTAATGCCACAATTCGGCAATAGCCAGGTACGTTTTCTTGCAAAGTGAAAGACTCCTCGAAATAAAGTCTAGTCACTTTATTTATTAAAGATCGATCATATCGATACTACATAGATATTTAGAGCTATATCGAGTGTGATATACAGTAAGTCCACAACGAGTCATTTGGGCTGGTCTGGCTATTGATGGGATAATTCAAGGAAATTTAGGAGATCAGATAACATTGAAGTGTCTCTATCAGAGATAACTGGTTATCTCTGGTCTCTATACAGGGAGACTGTACGTCAGCAGAATTTAAGATGTTTTATAAAATTTGAGTTCTAATTAAGCTGATCCTTTACGGAAGTGACAGTGGCAATGATATACATCTTATTTCAAATTATCTCTTAAGAGATCGTGCGACCGACTAATCTAAAGAAAATTTCATCCGACACAACCTGAGTATTTGTGATCGTAGAATAATAATTGGTTTTCTGTTTGCTCAAGGTTGTACAGTATGAATATTAGAAACATGATATCATAATAAGAAACTGACTTATACATACGACTTATTGTTATTTATTAATTTACAGGGCATCGACTATGTGTTTGGTATTATTGGTTACCCGGTAATCGAACTCAGCATGGCCTTGCAGATGGCGGATATTCATTACATAGGCATGAGGAATGAACAAGCTGCTTGCTATGCTGCACAGGCTATGGGTTATATGACAGGTACACCGGGAGCTGTTTTGGTAGTTTCTGGACCTGGTTTGTTGCACACTTTCGGTGGTTTAGGTAATGCTCAAATCAATTGCTGGCCAGTTCTTGTTATCGGCGGGTCCGCTCCTCAGGACCATGAAGGCATTGGTGGGTTTCAGGAGTGCAATCAGGTAATATCTAAACAATAAATTTATTATTTCAATAAAGAAAAACTGCCTGTTTTAATAGAAAATGGTTTTAACAGTGCTATATTTGTCATTGTTTCTCCTAAACAAACTTTTAAAAACCTAATGAACTGCTACAACAATGACCTACCGTCAATGTTTTATTTCGTTTACTTCTTTTAGGTAGAATTGGCCAGACCTTATTGTAAATACTCTGCGCGACCACCAAGCATTCCTTTAATACCCCAACACGTTGAGAAAGCAGTTCGCTTAACTAAAACAGGTCGCCCAGGAGCAGCTTACTTAGATTTCCCAGCAAATATTTTATCCGGTCGAGTCTCTGAAGATAAAATTCCAGAACAGTATGGACCAACTGATATCCCATTAATTTACCCGGATCCAAAACAAATTAAACTAGCCGTAGATTTACTGACTCATGCGAAAAATCCTTTAGTTATTGTAGGTAAAGGTGCAGCTTATTCTAGAGCTGAAAGAGAAGTGATAGATTTAGTAACATCTGCCAATCTACCATTTTTGGCAACTCCTATGGGAAAAGGAGTCGTACCGGATACTTCTCCGAAGAGTGTAGCTTCTGCTAGGTAAATTCATATTTCTGATTTAATCTAAATAAATACAAGATTCTTCATACCTTCATTTAATAAACAATTTTGAACTATACTTTTTAGGTCAACTGCTTTACAACAAGCCGATGTCATTCTCCTCTTAGGAGCGAGACTAAATTGGATCCTCCACTTTGGCCGACCTCCTAGGTTTTCTCCAAACGTTAAAGTTATTCAAATTGACATATCTGCCGAAGAACTTCACAACAGTATCAAAGCGGAGGTAGCGATCCAAAGTGACATTAGAACTGCAGTAGGTTCGATAGTTGACGGTCTCAAAAGACGAAGCTTCACTTTTAATAATGAAAACGAATGGTGGAAACTGTTGAGGAAGAAATGTCAAGATAATCAGAAAACTGTAGCGGTATGTTGATTATTTATATTTAAATCATCTTTTTCTCTTAGGTGTCATCATCCTCATCATATATCACAACATTTATCATAACAAGCAGCGCCACTATTGGATATAGTCCTTCAAATATTTCCGGGGGTTCCTGTTTTGAGAGTCGTTGATCCTATAATTCGTGAAATGTGACTTTAATCCTTGTATATTTTTTTTGTGATTGTCGATTTTATCACGTCATGAAATTCTTAACTTTGCTCTCTATATCATCCGCTAAATCACTCTTAATTTAAGTGATATTTCTTTGTTTTGCAATTACCAACAGAACTCACTATACTCTTTCAGTATATTAAAATTATATGTCGTTTAAGCTATTCAAATATGCAAATCTTCCAATTTTCATCTCTTACAGCAAACACCTGCGCATGAAGTAATTCAAACAAATTTCAATCTTAGTTAATATGATCACAAACGCTAACTAACGTATAAGCAGACGACTATATCAAACACTTAGCAGTCGGTTATTTTTTTCTTTTCTAGCATTAGCAAAAGAATGAATTCGTTTACAATATAACCCAATCTATTGGTCACATACTTCTATAAATCTTCCTCCTCCCACCAACAGCTTCTCTATCGGCAAACTACAATCGGCGTAGGTTGCTAAACCAACTCAGTTCCAAGATCAATTTCTCACCAAAACAAGCACATTGGTCTTTGCTCAATAAGATAGGTCGACAATATTTCAAATAATAAGATTGGAAGCTAACTGCTTATAACATATGTTATGTTGAGAATGGGGTGTTAATGCACTGCGACCTAAAAGATCTATTGTACCCCTTCTGTCGCCAATGCACTAAGAAAATGTCTCAATGCCTATAACGACCCTTCCAATCCTATTTTCTCAAGGAAGTGTAGGATTTGAAGTGGCTTTGTGGGAACTTTATTTGGTTATCCCATCAATAAAATATTTAAGCAGTTTGAAGATATATTTACAGAAATATAATTATTGTAAAATAGAAATTAATGACATGTCATGTAGATAATTGTAAAATCAAAAAAATGTCATAATAATTTTTTGTTTTATTTTCAATATCCTCTCTCCCGGCAACCAGGGAGCCACGGTGAAATGAGCTTAATATTTATCCATCTACGACTGCCACAAAGATTGGAGGTTATAAATTATGATTAAGGTGAAATGTAGTAATTAGTGCAACAGTAGGCACTACAATACTTCCCCCCTTTTTGAAATGTTTTACGTTAAACGTCATGTTTTAAATTTAAATAATTTTATTGAACGCAAATTTGATTTTTTATATAACTTTGTTTGTTGGAACGTGAATACTTTATGGTTTTATTAAATTAATGCATGATTTTTTTATATCTCAGTTTTGTAAGATAAAAATTTCAAAATAAAAAGATTAATAGGTCAAATGTTTAAATGTTGGCTGGATCCAAAAAACTATGACAGTATCTATAGTCTATCTATAGTTTATAGAGGATAGTCAACAAGATATGATTCGGCTGAATCAATTAAAGAGCTTTTAACAGCGCTTTATTTGCTTCGTTAAGGCACTTTTGATTTACGCTTGACCATTGTTTTATATTTTAATTTTATGTCTTATTGTATATGTTTAGTAATATATAGGGAATTACTAAATGGTAATTGTAAGTTATTGATAAATATATATAAACGATGAATAATGTTAATTTATGTTTTCTTGCCTGCGTGTTGGTCTATCATAGTGAAGACTAGTTTGTTTTGAATTTGAACCGATTTGTGGCAGCGGGAAAAATATTAAACTCACACCTGTAGTGATTTCAAATTACACTGCTACTGTTGTTATTGATGCTGAAACTTCTCAGCTTCTGTTCTTCTTTCTGCGACTGGTTTGCATCGAATTGGGATCTGCAGGATCTCGGATGAGAGGTTTCTTCTATTTTTTATGGAAGAGCTGCTCAGTCGGGGTCACCAATTGTGGGAACTTTATTTGTTTATCCCATCAATAAAATATTTAAGCAGTTTGAAGATGTATTTACAGAAATATAATTATTGTAAAATAGAAATTAATGACATGTCATGTAGATAATTGTAAAATCAAAAAAATGTCATAATAATTTTTTGTTTTATTTTCAATATCCTCTCTCCCGGCAACCAGGGAGCCACGGTGAAGTGAGCTTAATATTTATCCATCCACGACTGCCACAAAGATTGGAGGCTATAAATTTGCGGAAACTATCTCCGAGCAATTGCTCGGAGGAAACTAAGGTGAAAGGTAGTAATTAGTGCAACAGTAGGCACTACAGGCTTCAAGTTAGGTAAATCTCCCTCTTCTATTTGATATCCTCCTAGATATAGTGCCCTTGGATTCTGGAGTGCTACACATTCAGTTAGGATGTGAATGGAGATTTCGTCCTCCTCCTCCTCACAGAATCTGCACTCACTATCCTCTACTATTCTTAGTTTACTTAGGTGTCCTTTTAGGGTGAGATTACAGAACGTCTGCAACTTTGCAGATCTGCAACTTTGCAGATCTGCAAATATGGCGGACTTACAAATGCAAGTATTCCAAAAAATATCTGCAAATTCGCAATATTTATTGTGGTTTATTACCCCCAACAACACTAAACCCAAATTTGGAATACGAAAACTTGATACTTATGTGTAAGTCAGTCATATTTGCAGATTTTCAAAGTTGCCGCCATATTTGCAGATCTGCAAAGTTGCAGACGTTCTGTAATCTCACCCTTTTGTCGGCAATGCCCGGTAAGGATCCCTGTTAAAATACGTAGCCTGTTCTTGCTCAGGCAGATGCAGGCTTCCGATCTTTCGTGGTTATATTCACCCAGAAGTATCTTGGCCTGTCTCAGCCGCAAGAGATTGTTCCAATTATCGGTTCTTCTACTGCCCAATTCTTTTTTAATCTCTCCTAATATTATGTTACTGCTGATATCGCAGAACGGCTCAGGTCCTACAAAGGGTGTCTGGACCCCTTTCCTTGCAATATTATCTGCAATCTCGTTACCATGTACCCCGTTATGTCCCGGGACCCAAATGAGAGTAACTCTATTTTTCTCGTCTAGCTCATTCAAGTGTTATAACATATATGGTGACTTAATTAATTAAGTTGTTTTTTAAAAAGAGGTTTAAGGTTGATTGAATGCTCCTTAAATAATACTTCTTAGTACTCTACCATCAATGGAAAGTGCCAAGCTAACTCCAGAAAATATGCTCTAATTACATTTTCTTTTAGGCTATGGCTGCAGATATATCAGTACCATTAAATTATTATGCAGTTTTTAAGCATTTATACAATGTACTGCCAGAAGATTGCATCATTGTAAGTGAAGGTGCCAATACCATGGATATTGGTAGGTCAATGTTGTTAAATGAAAAACCGCGTCATAGACTAGATGCTGGTACTTTTGGTACGATGGGGGTAAGTTATGATTATTTCAGTTTTGTATATTCAATCAAAAATATAAAAAATTAATAATTACCGCCTAATCTTTAATACTGTAATACAGATGAGTAAACTTTAAAGAGTGTTTAAAAATATCTTTAATCTGACATTGTTTACATGTCCTTTTATTTTATTATAACCGCCATTGTAGCAGAATAGATATTTAAAGTTGAATGCTAATGCTACTCTCCACATTGATAATTTATATTCTTTCTATATAATTGGTGGATTGTATCTGAGTATTGCTTATTATTTCGATTTAAAGTTGTATGGTTTAAATTCAAAAACTCATCGGCTCCACCAAAGTATTGTTTATTTATCGAAGATCTCAAAAAATACGAGTTTGTACAGCTCATCTATTGGACTAGATCTTCGCAGGGAGAAAGGGTGACGTAATTACATTTGGTTGATTCTAGAATATAACGGACCAATAGCTTATGTAAATATTTTAAAGTATTTCAACACGCCATGTTTCATTTCTTTGCATATAAATTAGAATTTCTACAGATTTTCAATTTAGATTTCGTCTAATTTTATGCCATCTTGTCACACATTCTAGCGAACACAGTATTTTATCTCCCAAGATTGAATTGAAACAAACTTGACAGATTAGAGTTTGTAATTATTAATAACATATGTTTTAGGTTGGTCCCGGATTTGCAATCGCAGCAGCATTATATTGCAGGCACTTTGAACCCAACAAAAGAGTGATATGCGTAGAAGGAGACTCTGCTTTTGGATTTTCCGGAATGGAAATAGAGACCATGGTTAGATATAAACTACCCATAATTATTGTAGTTGTTAATAATTCTGGAATTTACACTGGCATGAACGCTGATGTTTTAGAAGAACTTAGAGGAAGCGTTGATATTGGGGATATAGCAAAAGTGTAGGTATTTTTACACAAAATAGAAAGAATCTTTGTTTTAATAAGTTTTTTTAGGTGCCTTTAAATTTTTTATATAGAATGTTTTGTATATAGAATGTTTGTTTTGTATGTAGAATGTTTGTTTTATATGTAGAATGTTTGTTTTTTATATAGAATGTTTTGATGTTTTCTATATAGAATGTTTGCCTTAAAAGATACACATTTAGTGGAATATTCATCCATCAATAAAATTATGAAAAATTAAACAATGTAATATATATTCTAATCTTTCTAGGTCACCTCCTGGATGTTTGACCAGCGTAACTCGCTATGATAAAATGTTGGGACTTTTTGGAAAATCTGGATATTTCGTTAACACTGTATCTGAACTTGAAAAAGCTGTTAATGATGCTCTTAAGATTAATGATCAACCAACGATAATAAATGTTATAATTGACCTCACTGCTGATAGGAAACCACAATCTTTCCATTGGCTAACAGAATCAAAATTATAGACAATTTAAAAAATGTTTAATGCTGTGTTGGTGAAAGTTGAATTTTTTGTTATGTCTACTATATTTAATAAAAATTTGTTATTTTATTTTAGTTTTGCTATAAAATATAGTCATAGTTACACATTTTATTATACACACCTTGCATTTCTATTAACAAATTAAATCAAAATGACATAAATAGTACAAAATAAAAATATAAACAGTGATCCACAAAAAAACGTTTCTAAAGTAGAGGCTATGACCATTAAAGAAATACGATTCATGTCCTCTGATAACTTTTCTCTACTCATAATTAAATCCACACTTAAAAGAAGAATTGCACTCTTCGACATGCGTGTATTTTTCCAAGGTCTACTTTAAAAACATTTTTTGAAGACCACTTCATATTATATTATCTATACTTATACTACTTATAGTATAAAGTGATCAACAAAAAATGTTTATAAAGTAAGCCGTGACCGACAAAAACATACATGAATCATCTCTGTGATATAAGTACGCACGGCTCTGAATTAAATCCAAACTGACACTTATAAAAAATAAGAATTGTACTCTTCGACATGCGTGAACTTTTTCAAGGCCTACTTTAGAAACTTTTTTACTCTATTTTAAGTAAATAACTTTTAGTACAGTCTAAACTTGATATAATAAATACAATAAAATCTTATGAAACTCTTAATTTTATAATACACTATTACAAACTAACATCTTGAAAATAAACGAATTATGTAAATGTACGGTATAATATAAACAGGATTTTTTTTATTAAAATTTATTAATGCAAAATAAAAATACAAAACAATCTTACAATTTTTCTACATAAACGCCTTGAAGATCTACAGATTCTTGTCAACGCTTTGGATTCTTTTTGATTTCATAAAAAAATGGATCTTCTTTAAATGGCCCAAAAAAATAATAGTCGCAGTGTGAAAAATCTGGATTCTAGAGGGGTGCCCCAAGATTATCCAGTGGAATTCAGCAAATTTGTATGTAGTCAAAAGGGTTGTGTGAGGTGAGGACGAGCATTATCATTAAGCAAAATCACAAGTCGGATTGGGGTACTGCGTCTATTTGGATCTGTATGAGGCTTGGCAGTACTATGGAGCATTTACAGTACGACTATCATTAAGAAAATCAACGAGCAATATTCCTCTCGTTTGTAACGTACCAAAAGCCTTTGACAGATTTCCATTCAACGCTGTTTCTGATTCATTGTCAAGAGTTGTACATTTTTCTGAATCAAAGGCGAGCTGTGATTGGTACTTCATACTTCGACATGAAGCGACTGCTCATCGCAACAAAATATCGACATGGATTACCGTTATACTCTTTGGTTATAGCATCCATTGCATTCCTTATTTACATTCCTACTCTTATACTCTATGTATAACCACGATTCACACGTTCGAATATTTTGAGACGCGCAATTTCTTCACGTAACTTTCCTAGCCTATTGCCAGCCTATAGAGATTATTTTGAATCCTACTTATATTGTAAGCACATCTGTCGTTAGTATTCGAGGTTATCTGGTGATTTTTATCACTATGAATTTTGTGACGTGCATCTAAAGTGTGTTTAAACCCTTCTCGCAATTCTTCGTACAGTTTTCTTTTTTATTTCCTTTGGGGAAGTGGTGACTCCATAAATTTCACTTGTATTCATTTTACGCATTTACAGAGAACTGCCAACAAGATGAAACAACTATATTTTATTTATTTAATGAATAGTTCACAACTAACCGAAGAAGAATTTCCTAACAGAGCAAATTTCTTATGCAAATGAAACTATAATAACAGACACAGACTATCAAACAATTGATATTTTACAGAAAAATTTCACGAAATATATCCGCGGTTATTAAATATCTAAACATTCATGTAAAAATCTATGTAACGTATGCTAATGCATTTAATGAAATGGATGAAAGTGCATACACTCAAAAGGCATTTACAAATACAGACATTAATTTATTTGGAAGTCATAACAATTTCATCAAATTTATTATATCCATGAAAATGCTTTTTCAAGAGCATTTTGAAAATTTGTGTATACAAGAAAATGTAAAAAAAATTAGTAACTTTATTTCAATCATTAAAATTTGAAAATTGCAATGTAACAATTTTAATTATAACTATAGGAATGGGATTAGAAAATTAATAATGTGGAGACATGTTTAAAAAATATATACTTTAATAATTAAACTGTATAGTTGCAAATTGCAAATCTTTTACGTATTTTTTTTATACGCTTTAATAAAAATATATTTTCATTAATAAATGAATGTTTTTTTTACCGCATCCTCAATATTACATCCAATTCGGGAATTTACAAAAAAAAATGGTATTTATTTGTTCACCATAGTATTACAGTATATGGCTGTGACGCTATATTAAGCTAATATAATTAAAATAACCTTTATGCAGTCATAAAAAAATACTTCAATATATTAGGTAATTGAAGCAAGACAATTTTTGACGTATTCAAATTCTTTATTTTATACGGAAGAATATGTTAAACACGGTCCTGTTTATTTACGTGAAAATTGTCCACCGTACGAAGCATAGATATATAACCAGTACGAACTCATAGCATAGGAATCCGAAGCCACCGAAATGAATTTAATTTGATCAAAGTGCCGCTGCTTGATGAGTGATTCTGTTTGCGGTGGTATAATTTATTTCGAAAAAAATTCCTGTTTATATACCTATGACTGATCCTCGTATAATATCTGTAAAATGTGTTGCCTGACATTTTATTAAAAATTTTCGGCACTCTCAATTTGAATTTTTAAGTCCATTTTGAGAAGTATTTGCTCGGAGATTTTTAAAATTAATCTAGGTTTTTACTAATATTTAAACGATTTATGTAAATACGTAATAATTAATAACAGTCCAATTTCCATGAAATTAGATAAAAATTATTCTGCAAATTTTAGTTATACTATAGTGATACTACAAGTTAAGTACCTAATTAAAATTAATTAGAGTTTTCAGAATTTTTATAAGTTCCGTTTGACCCGATTTTTTAACGAAAAATGTAAAATTTACAAACAAAACTCTTCTTCATTGGTTGAACATATAATATGTTTGTTTTTTCAACATTCGCTCAAACACGTTTTCTTTTGTTAATTGATATGTCATTTTGCTCATTAGCAAATAAGATTTCTTAAATTATCTCACGTGACTAAGTTTTAACGATCGAATTGGTTAGCAATTTCCTGATTTGTCAAAGTCAAAAAAAAGAATTTCATTTATAAAAAAAATTAAAAGAAGGAAAGAGGTCGATTGACAAGTTTTAAATATTGATAATAATTTTTTACGATGGAGTCGATGGAAACAATTTTAGCCAAACTGTTAGTTTCGAATAGTAAAAGCGTTCAAGAAGTAAGTGAAATCTTCCAATTATTTTTGTAATTATCTAATTCTAACCTCACATTCCACGTGCCGAACCCCAGTAATAAAAAAAACCGCAAATATCTATTTTACTGATAATTTTAGGGAACTAGAGAGTTAAAGGAAGCTTTTAAAAAGCCAGAAGCTGTACCTGCTCTTTGCGATGTGTTGGTTACATCTACCCACCCTCAAATTAGACAATCTGCAGCTGTTCTTCTTAGAAGAAAATTGGGAAGAAAAAGGCACTGGAGTAGAATCAATGTTGACATAAGAAACAGGTTTATAAATTTAATTTTGTTACTTATTAACAAATATCACAACTACATGGAAACAAAAATACAAATTGTCGAGTAAAGATAAGAACCAACTTTAAGAGCAATTTAAAACTATAATTAATGTTTTAGTGCAATTATTTATAATGTCGACCTATTTTATATATTTTCTCCAGTCATTAACCACACATTGCTGTTTTATTATTTTGATAATAAGGTTTTGTACGTTTAACCCTGTGTCTCTGTCAGCCAGGCGCTGGAAAGTATATCTAAGATAATGTAAAAGTGCAGCATCAGGCCTGCATAATGGGGAATCGGAAGTTGTAACAGTATGTCAGCCATTCTGAATGGATTAATTCATGCAATGTTTCTTAAATCCTTTTAGACGAATATATATTACATTTGTACCGACTTAATAGAGAGTATCTATGGTATCAAGATTTTATTTACTTTAATGATGATCTACAATTTTCTAATATAGCTTTCTAATTAGCTCCCTTTTCTATGACATCTACTGTAATTAGCAATTGTCCAAATTTCAGGAAATACCAGTTTTCAATATTGGCATATGGATATTTTACCTATGGCATCAAAGGATATTTTAAATATTTTTGTAGTGTTATTATTCTTGTCTAAGGGTACTGTAAATGTAAGTTCTGGAACTTCCAGTAATTTATAATTTTGAAATTTACAATTAAATGATTTCCATAAAATATTCTTTTAATTATTTAGCTGTTTCTGTCTTTATAATTTGGAACTGGTTGTTTCATACTAACCATTTCCAGGTTTTGAACTTTTCATTAAGGTAGTTCCTTACCTCATCCATTTTCTGATGTGCCCAGTTTTATTTACTTTTTTTAGTTCCCATTTCCCCAATTCAACCATGACCTTCATCAAAAGGTGTGGCTTGTACAGTGAACTATAAGTTAGTTATGAGCCACAATAGACCCATCTGGGTCGCAGTGGAGGGCGATGAGATCATCCAACTCATTTTCAACCTAACCTAACCTAGTTCCCATTTTATATTTTTCTTCTTTGAAGTATTGCCTTTTTAACTATCCCGGTTTATTTTAAATGTAATTTCATGTAATCTAAAATTAATGTTAAAAAAAAACATGTAAAATACGAATTTAAGAATTTTATGAATTTAAACTGTTTTTAGGATCAAAGAAGGAATGCTAGGAGCTCTAGTAAGCGAACAAGAAAAATTGGTCAAAAACTCCATAGCTCAATTCATTGGGATCATTGGAAAACATGAATTTCCAGATAACTCTTGGCCTGAAGTTTTGCAATTTGTGCACACTTTGACAAGTAGTGAAACTATCTTTGACAAAGAGGTAAATTTTAATGACCATAAAAGATATATTCTCTTCTTCAAATATTTTTTTAATATAAATAAAAAGTTCCTTGGTTGTAGCGGTCAGCATCAGGCAATTGTTGATTAAAGATTATATTTTTATTCAGTTGAGAATAGCTAAGGGTTGTCAATTTGAACATTTGCTTGGAATTTGGTTGTATTTAATAAACAATAATATTAATTGTAATAATAAAAAGGTTTGTCATTTTAAAAACCTAAATTACTTAAAACTTAATAATAGATAATTAAAAGACCTTTCAAATGATGTATCTTATGAACCACATTTCTATTTAAAAAACCCATTGATGACATAATCACACTCACAAAGATGATGCCACAAATAAAGGGAATATATGACAGAACACCTGATTGAAAATTAAAATCAACATATTTCAGGATTTTTCCAGAAACCAAAGAGTTATGAAATAGTGAATATTCCTGTACTTTGTAACATACTGTAGGGGGTATTGTGATTAAAAAGCTTTAAAGTAAAAACATCAAAATATCAAAACATCTTGTATTTCCTAAATTTAAATATAAAGTTACACTTCAATCTATTTATAGTAATAATAGAAATAATATTTACAAATGAAAAGTTGAATGTGTAAATTGGTTCATTTAGGTTAAAAATAGATCATATTTTTTTAATGAAATTCTTCATTACTGAATCATTATATAATTGAGCTTAAAAAGGAGGTGACTCATCTTGTTGTTTGTATTATTTAAACCATATTTATATGAAGTAACATTATTAGGCAAAGTACAGGATAGTGTGAAAGTTATATTAGGTTATCAACTTGAAATGATAATTAACTACCTGATATACAGAGTATTAAAAATTAAAACATTCTATTTCAGTAAATATTTTTATTTACAACCATATATGTAATGTTGTCATTACTAACGTCATTGAAGGTTGGGAAGTGTCACATTACACACCTCTACTTCCTGCCCTCACTTCCCGCCCTCATTTAATTTTGTAATTTTCACATGCCAATAAAACCATATTTATTTATTTATTTATTTATTTATTTATTTATTCTAGATGAATATTTTTTATATTTAAAAAAAATAACACATTTTTTTGACAAATTTTATAATACCTATTTAATGGCAAACAATAAAAAACAACAATGAACTAAAATACAACAAACTACTTATTGATATTTATTATTCGCGAATTTAATATCGGGCTTTATCTGACATTTATTTATATTGGTGACAGTTGTTTAACCCTTAATCACAGTAACAATATATTCTGAGAAAACCGCGCGCTTGGTAATTTGTCATTAAATGTAATATTTTAGGTATGTTCAGAACAAAACAGAGATTTATTAACTTTGATTGAAATATGATGGTTGTAAATAAAATAGTATACAAACCTCGGTAGGAAGTTTCATTCCTGTCACGAGATCATAAATGAATTTTATAAATAAACTGTAGGATTTGTAGAAAATTATTTGCCTCACCAAAATCATAGAGTAGGTTAAAATTATATTACAATTAAATTTTAACAGATCATTCAAGATTAGTTCATTGCAAATAAATTAATTCTTAAAACTAACTAGTATAAAATAATTATTTTTCATCTAAAATTTAAAATCTTAAAAGTAAAGGCATAATCATTTCACTTTAAATTGTGATTAGAATTTCATCTGTCCAAAGGAATCTAAATACATATATAGCACTTGTAATCATTGTCTGATCCTTACTGGGAATCTGTAAAATCCATATCAGTCTCCAATTCACTCTAAATAAATCTAACAGAAAACACATATATTAAAACACGATCACCCTAGCCTTTGAGGTTTATTGTGACACTAAGAAAATCAAAGCATGGTGCGATGCCAACTATTTGTGTCTAAACATGGAAAAAAACTAAAATGCTAGCCCTTAAATGTACCCTACCAAAGATTCATTTAGGAAGTCATAATATTGAATTTGCTGACATAATAAAATTTCTGGGCATTAATTTAGACAATAATTTGAAGTTTAAGAACCATATAGAATTGCACAAAAAAACTTTCTTCCATTTATTTTGCGGTCAAAACTGTGGCAAAAGAATTAGGTTTCAAGCAAGCTAAAAGTGTTTATTACACTCTAATCGAGTCCCATTTAAGAAATGGAAGTACATTTTAAGGAGGTTGTAGCCACGAGTTGTTCAATACCGTTTTTTGTCTGCAAAAGAGAGCAATCTTAGATAATTTATGTACAGATAGGCACCACTGAAAAATCTATACAATGTTGATGTCGCTAATATAAAATCATGTTTCTTTTTCTAAAGCAGGCTTTCTCTCTCATATTGGAATCTTGAGCAATAGCGTATGTAAACAGATTGCATTGGGTTATTTTAAATGTGAAAGTAGTGACTGTAAAGTAAAAAATACAAAATAATGTTTTAAAAGGTAGGTACGTTTTTATTGAAGTGAAAACAAAATATGACATTGTCATGTCAAATAATATAATAATTAAAAAAACCAAAAAAGGTTGACAGCTGTGTGCATGTAGTTTAGATTCAAAAAGGAAAAACTTGTATTTCGTGCAAAACTTTTTTATTAATCAATGCAAAGCGCTTTCGGCTTATTTGCCATCATCAGTGCTCATCTACAAAAATTGTGGATGTAAACTTACAATTTAAAAAGATTTAAAAAAAAATATATTATAAAATCTGGATTAGACTTTTAAGTCAAAAGTTAAAATAGTATATATACAATTGTTTGAGCAAATTAAAAATTACAAGAAACAAACAAAGTGACAAAAAACTGGTATTGGGAATAGTGAGTGTGGGATAAGCCCTTACAAATCAAATCTGATCTCCAGAAGCAAGTTAGCTTTTTCATAATTATAATGTATATAAAACATATAAAAAAAACCTTCAGTTTTTTTACTTTGGCCTTCTGCGTTTTACTTTCTTCATATCAAATATTGCATTCTAGATTCAAATTTCAATATATCTTCCACAGTCACCCTCTAATTGTAAATTTCTTTAAATTTGAACTAATTTGTTAACCTTTTTTCAATTTTGTGAATAGTGAGGGTGGCATGATTCCTTAATTCCACACAAGCTAACTTGCTTCTGGAGATCAGATTTGATTTGTAAGGGCTTATCCCACACTCACTATTCCCAATACCAGTTTTTTGTCACTTTGTTTGTTTCTTGTAATTTTTAATTTGTTCAAACAATTGTATATATACTATTTTAACTTTTGACTTAAAAGTCTAATTCAGATTTTATAATATATTTTTTTAAAATCTTTTTAAATTGTAAGTTTACATCCACAATTTTTGTAGATGAGCACTGATGATGGCAAATAAGCCGAAAGCGCTTTGCATTGATTAATAAAAAAGTTTTGCACGAAATACAAGTTTTTCCTTTTTAATATAATAATAATTATTCAAATAATATTCTATTAAATATCTATACCTGTTGAAAACCTATGCAATAGTAGAACTGAAGAAATACATAATAAAGCATTTAATTTAAACATGAAAAAATAAACCCAATATATAAAAATAAAACAAACCAATATATATTCACTTATTTAGCATAAGTAGAATAATTTCAGGAAAAAAAATATATAAGAATTTTATTTACTTTTCTAATGACCTTTAAAATATAAATTATAAATTATCTAGTTCCTTTATTTAACTTTAGTAACTAAATATTCTTATATTACTGATGATAGTTTATATTTTAGACCATGTACAAATATAAAGAATGCATCCAAAAACTAATAACAGATTATTGTTTTTTCTTTTCAAAACGGCAATTTTGCAGTAATATTTTGATATTGCAGACCAGGGCTGTAACTAGGCATAGGCTGACTAGGTCCTTGCCTAGGGGCGCCGGGTGCCAAACTCAAAAAGAATAACCCAACCTGCTATATTGCAGTGTTGCCAACCTTTGAGTGAGATGAATGAAATTCCATTCCATTTTGAAGTCATAGATGGGGCATTGTTGTCCAAAATAGATATTAGTACTTTAAAACACATATTAAGGATTTATGCTTGAAATATCCCAACGATTTGGATGTAGTTGAATTTTTCCAAGAGGCAGGAAGCTTTACATTTCAAGTCAAAGAACTTTTTGATTTTCGAAATTTGCAATATACCAAAACTTAATTAAATCTGACTTACTTTCTGAATATCCAAACTTTTCAATTTCAATGCAAAAATTTTTAACCTTGCCCGTTGCAAGCTCAACTCGTGAACCTTCTTTTTCCAAATTAAAGCTTGTTAAAAGTTATTTAAGATCAACAATGTTACAGGAGAAATTAATCCACATAGCCCTATAATTGCTATAGAAAGAACAGTAACCAAGTCGATTTCTTTTGATACCTACCTATCAAATTTTGCCTTACAGAAAGCCCGAAAAGTTCGTTTTTAATTAAGTTTTTATATTTTTCTTATTCTTAAGTAGTTTAGTTATTTTCGTGTACCTATTTGTTTTTGTAATATTGTTAAGGTTTTAACTCTTTTTTATTTAGACTTTACAAGTCATATAGGTACCTAGGTTTTTGTTGTTAATTTTGAAATTTAAAAATTATATATCTTACTTAATAATTTTATACTGTTTTATTTTTAACTAAAAAAAAAACTATTAGGGGCGCCAAAATTCGAGCTGCCTTTAGTAAATTTTTGTCTAGTTACAGCCCTGTTGCAGACATACTTTTTTTACTCGTCTTAATTATGTCTGTAATGGTTTATTTCTGTTTCGTAAGTTTGAAGCAGTAATGTTGGCAACAAAAAAAGTCGTCGTAATGACCGATTTTCTAGAGACTTCAATGTATTTACCAAAATATCTAAGTTTTCTAAAATAAGTATTCATTTACAATTCAATGTATCAGCTCAGATCAAATCCAATGTTTGATTTAATTCTTCAAATTTTGTTGATTAGTGTTTTAGAGTCAGACCTCAAACTTAATATTGAAGTATGCGAAGTACTTTTTTTAAAACTATGACTTCTTTTATTTGTTGGCAAGTTTATTACTGTTAAAGAAGAAGGAACTTGGCCCATACACAATTGATTTAGTGTCTGAAGAAATTACTACTTTTTTTTGGAGGTGACAGCTTGACTACTACTCTCTTTTTCCTGCTTTGTTTGTTTAATACAATATTCAGTTACATATAAACTTATATTTGTTGCAGCAAAGCAGTCCTCTAAAAAGTGCCTTTCTTCTAATTCGTCTTTTACACAATTTTTTTTTTTTTAATTTATATGACATGTTGTTTTCCTTTTTTCTCCTAAAATGACGCTCATGTCCATTGGTAAGAAATAATACTAACGAGTGAAACGTAACCTCACTTTCTCTTTTATATTTGAAATCACATATAACACAACTTTTTTCCTAGTATAAAATAAACCCTACAAACCAGTCTCTTTTAACACCACCATACTTGAACGAATTTTAGTAAAAAACTTAAATAATTGTTTAAAAATAGCTCGAAAGATAAACACAGAGATAGAGATATCAATTTATTTTTTTCTAATTAGAACTTTTGGATTCGATTCTCGACCATATTATCAGGGCGACACATTGTTTATTGTCCTCTCTGTACTTCTTTACTCTGAGAGAGCAATATGATTTTTATGTGGAGTGAACAATCTTTAGTCATGTTAGCCATTTTTGTTAGACATGAAATGATAACCGTTGTTCATTCTTGAAACTACTTGTATCATACATAAAAAAAATCGACCCATGCCAATACTAACGCTCGTTTAACGTGACAAGTTGACTACCTACAATTACCCAGATCTGAGCTGGTGAAAGGCTCTTTCATTTTTAATGGGATTAAAATGTACAAGTTGCCAAATAGTATTAAATCGACGGAAATAATTACTTTTAATGGAATGCTTAGGAATATTTTGGTAACAAAAACATATTATCCTTTGACGAAATTTTACAGTGACTTAAATTGCTGTAACTGTTTGAACGTTATATTTTTTATAATTTTTATATTTATAATTAACTTTAATTTTATATTTAACGGTTTTTTTTTTTCAATTTTTTTTAATGTTTTATTCATTAACTGTTAGTGTTGTATGTTTATATTTATAAGTGTTCTATAAGTTGTTGTAGCTTTGACAATAAACATTAATTGATTGATTTTGCTACAATATTTGAGCATCTTACTGCCTTACCCATTCACCCCCACATATTAGGTGGTTAAACACTAATCCCATGCAACACGAAATATATCTAGTTATTTTACCTAGGCGATGGTAAAGGAAGAAGAATGCATCACGTGATGTAATAATATCTACATTCACACACAATTAGTCACAAGTAGCTGTGAATTATAGTAAAAACAATTCAATATAATATGCCTTTTCATTTTTTAAACAACATACTAATTAAACTGAATTACAAAATAAAAACATTAAATTACAGTACAATATTAAATAAATAAAGGCTGGATTGATCGAAAATAATCTATTATTTTAGATTAATCAATTATTTTAGATTAATCGATTATATTCGATTAATCGATTATTTTCGATCAATCGATTATTTTCTATCAATCAATTATTTTCGATCAATCGATTATTTCGATTAACTGATTATTTATTTTGATAATCGCTCAGCAGCCCACTTTACTCTTTCATAAAATTCATATTTTTGATGAAACTCCTACATGGCCAAAAAAATTGATATCTGACGATTAAATTTTATGTTTTAGACCATGCAGACCTTTTTATGGAGAATAACTTTTTTGCATAAGAGAGCATCCCATATTCTTCACAGTTTAACAGAACCCCTCAAACCCGCATTTTTATTCAGATTTTTTTTAGAATCAATAGGTTTCATCCCCTTATATAGCTTGATTTTTACTAATTTTTTTATCTTGATATCACTTTTCGTTTTTGATATAATTTTTTGTTAAATTTTTTTTTAATATTTCAACTACTCTTTTACTCCTCCATTTTTGAGATTTCTTTCAGAATCATCCTCTTATGAAGCTTGATTTTTACTAAAAATTTCATGTTGATATTGCTTTTCATTTTTGATTTAAGATTTTTTTTCAATTTCACCCCCTAAGCCCTCCATTTTTATTCATAGGCTTCTTCCCCTTTTAATGAAATGTTTAATAATATGATGAATGTATACTGTACAAGAAAGAAACATTTATTAAAGATTTGTATATTATGATAATAAAAATAAAAAAAAAGGAAAACTTAAATGATGTGGTACAAGAAATTAAACCATATTTAAGAAATATGATTCATCTTCTGACGATAGTCCTTCAATATTAACTTTTAAAGTTGAATGTCTACATGAAAACTTCCTTCCCGGTCTTCTTTTGATGCATTTTTATAGGCATATTTATTGAATTAAGTTTTATTACTATTTCTTTTAAAGTAGGTATAACTTTTTTTCTCTAGAATTTACGTATTCTTAATGATATGTCTGGCCCATCTCTTTGAATTTTACTTTTTAATATAAAATAAAAAAAAAGTAAAAGCTTTACATACAAAAGTTAAAGGGATGTTGATGAACTTTATGCCCTCACCATATTCATGTTTTCTTAAATTTTATTTCTTATTTTTCAGCTTGGCATGTATACTCTTTCTATAATGACTGAAATTGCTCAAAGTTCTTACATTGTACATGCTGAATCTTTTGCTATATTATTTACAACAATTCTGAATCAACTTACGGACCTTAAATCAAATTTAGCTTATTATACTGTAATTACTATGAAGAATTTGGTTTCTGTTATTGGAGGACACCAACAGGTTAGTATAATATAAACCTATATTTGTCACGATTCATATTTACTTTATAATTATTCAATCAATTTGTGTTTTTTTTGTTTAGTTTTTTTTTTATTTTGGTTTATTTCATTATACTTATTTCACATTTTTTCCCTTTTATTATACTAGTATGTTCCTTGTTTACGTAAATAAATGATTTATATAGTTTTTGTAGCTATAGTTAATTAATTAAATAAATAATTTTGATAGATGGTAAATATTTACCACTCCTTATTGCCAAAAATCCTTGAAGTGATCAACGCACATGCCATCGATGATGAAAAGAAAACTGTCGACATGTTTGAAATTATTGAGGAACTGATTGAATTTGCAGTCAGCGTTGTAGCCCCGCATTTAAAACTTATCATTGATATGTGCCTTCAACTAGCTAGTAACAACTCCACTCCTAAAGCCGTCCAAATTAAATCTATCGGGGTAGTTGGATGGTTGATAAGATCAAAAGGAAAGGTAAGTAGATCGAACTACTACAACTACATTAAAAAATAGCAAAAATTACTAATATGTGAGAATAGTAGTTACATTTAATATACTTTGTTTAAATGATTTATTTTCTATTAATATTTCAGGTTGTCCAAAAAAACAAACTAGTCGAACCAATTATTGACGTTTTGATTTTGCTCATGGCTCAGCAACCTGATGACGAAGGCAATGAGGAATACTTCCTAGGGGACCCTGACCAATTTACTTCGATAACAGCAGCAACACAGACTTTGGATCTCATTGCTTTGCATATCCCTGCTGAAAAAATCATACCCTATATTTTGACGAAAGTTGAACCTGCCATTCAAGGAGGAGACCTTTACTCTCAGAAAGCTGCTTATTTAGCATTGGCTGTATTAGCCGAAGGGTCAGTTTTGCTTTTATAAAATAACAAGCTTAAAATGCAATAAATGTTTTAAATATCTTAAAGTAACACTTTGAAATTTTAATTTTTTTGATAGGTGCTCAGAATGCATAAGAAATAAATACTTGGAGGCATTTTTGAAATGTGTATGTTCTGCCATTCACAATCCAAATGCGGTCGTCAGGAATGCAGCCTTCTTCGCTTTGGGTCAGTTTGCAGAACATTTACAGCCAGAAATCAGTCACTATGCCTCTGAACTTTTACCTGTTCTCTTTGAGTGTCTTGGACAAACCTTCGTCCAAATGGAGGCAGAGAAGAAAGATCCACCCAGTCTGGCTAAGTTGTTTTATGCTCTAGAGACGTTTTGTGAGAATCTAGATGAAGGGTAAGTTTATATAAGGTGTTTCAGAGTGAAATGTACATATGTTAAGTGTAGGAATTTTTATTTAACCAAAAATTTGGCCAGTTCTTTCCGCCTTAAAAACAACCCGGTATAATAAAGTTGCATATTCGATGAGGTATTTTAATTAAGTTATCCATACCCAGATTTGAACAGGTAAAAGAATCCTTAATTTATAATGTGATTATACCGTATAATAAATTGCCAAATAATATAAAATCGGCAGAAGCAGTTTTGTTTAATAGACTGCTTAGTAGAGGTGTGTCGTTCGCGAACGATTCGTTCAAAAAGAACGAATCAGTGCACTGACTCGAATGAATTAATTCCCTGTTTTTAAAAGATTCGAATCTTTTTTGAGTCAATTGTTCGACGGCTCTGTGATATATCAAGAACGCCCAATTCCGAGTTTGGTTGTTTCGTTCATTCGGATCTGATTCGAAGATTCGGTATTTTAAATCAGCATCGGCAAATCGGTCGCTTTTGTTCTACGTTCTACAGCATAATACAAGAACTTGAACTTACAGGCGGTGGCGGTATGTGTCTGTAATGTTTTTCTCACTTTACCAGAGGTATATTAAACTTAGGTAAACAATTTATGCGCGTTGTCTGATAAATAAATTTAAATCAAAGTAAATAAGTAAAGCAATAAATGACGAATCATATATCTATAATTTTTCGTTAGTTTTGGCTATATTTAGCATTAAAAAAAATTGTGTTACTGTTGTTTATCTTAACGGACAAGGATGAACCTACTATTATAGTATTCAAATTTCCATCTGTCTTCTTTTTATGAAATATTAATTCGCTATACTTTAAAATATCAAATTAAAATAAAACCGGTATTAATTATTTTACTTAAGCATCTCACCACTCAAATCATTACATTCTTTCTTACGCATTACAGACTGAACGCCACTCGACGACCTAGTAAATAGGTAGTTCTCAAATTCGTAAACGTTCGGTTTGATTTCCTTCGACGGATCGGCGGAATAACATCGTTCGTGGTTCGCTAAAGTGAATCACTTGAGAACGAATCTTTAAGAACGAATCTTTTTAGGTGAATGAATCAAATGAATTAATTCAGTAAAAAGATTCGAACTTCCCACCTCTACTGCTTAGGAATATTTTGGTAATAAAAGCATATTATACTTTAATAGCCCAAGAGTTGATGAAGAATTTGGGGAAGAAAAGTAAGTTTTTATTTTGCTACTGCACAGCATATTATGACATTCGCCAAAAATTAATTTAAAAAATGTTATTTTTTATTTTAGCATTATTTATAGAATCTAGAAAAAAAATCCCAGACTATTTCCACGGTTTTGCAGTATGACCAGACTGCCCACCGAATTTGCTTTAATAATTAAACTAAAAATATACTCTAGACTCTCTAAAATTTTTATAACAAATTTATTAATTTCTATTGAAAATATCTGCCAAAAAGCCTGACGAATAGGACGGGTTTAAATAACTACCTGACACATACAAAGGTGTGCAACAAAAAAATCTTACGTGTAGACATAATATGTCAAAAAGAGAAAGTTTGTTGGCATGTATCTCGGGCTGTTTACAGAGCATTTTGGAGCAGTTAATTATTTTTGAGCAATAATGTTTTTCTAATTTTGACAAAGTAACATTTTTTGTAATCAGCAAGTGTCAAAATGATCTACTTTACGCAACTAGTTACATAATGTTGAACATTATGAAATTGCTTTCGAAAAATTCATTATGTCACCAGTTGCTAAAAGAAAACAAAAACAAACTTTTTTTGGTTTCATAATCAATAATATATATTAATAATAAATGTTAAAAGTATTAAAAAAAGATATATAGGTGTAGATACAGAAAATACAGTTATAAAAAATCAGTTGGATTAGATGGAATTAAAACAAGTTTTTAAGCAAATATCAGCTATTTTAGCAGAACCCATATGCCACTTAAATAAAAATTTTTAATCGGTTAATATTTCTACAGCTTCTAAAATTGCAGTGGTTACCCCTATCCATAAAAAAAGGAGATGAATCGAAGATAACTAACTACAGACCAATTTCTGATATTAAACCATTAGCTAAAATTTTCGAAAAACCAATAAAAAATAGGTTAGTGGCCTTCTTAAACAAACACAAAGTAATTTCTGAAAAACAGTTTGGTTTTAGAGAGGGTCTGTCAACAAACGATGCAATTTCAAAATTAGTGGGACAACTTACACAGTAAACCGGTCCTATGCGTCTTCCTGGAGCTTGCTAAGGCCTTTGACACTGTTGATCATTTTCAGATGTTGGAGGTCTTGACAAATACAGGAATACGAGGAGTACAGCAACAATTATTTACTAATTGAATGTTATGATGGAACAACGTTGTAACTGCCAATATGCGCACATTCGAGTTTTTCGTGGAATAACATTGTATGTGGTCGAAATAATCAACTGATGAAGTGGTATGAGTATAAAGGGCTTCTATTAGTATTTTATAGTAGTAATAAAATTATTTGACTTACATACTCCGGTGTAACAACGTTGTATGTGCCTGTCTTATTAGATATGTGTGAATATATTCCATTAAAATATGTAAATTTTTATGAAAATCTTAAGAGTATAATAATTACAACTTTTAGTTACCTACTCAACCCAGTGATGTTTTAAATTTAAGTTAATTAACACGTTTTTTACTGCCACTTGTGCTTTATTTTTAAACATAAAACAATGTTCTAACCGCCCTATTTCCACAAAACAACGTTATAACCGACGTGGATATACAACGTTATTTTATTAAAATATAGCAACTAAGTTCATAAAACCCCGTCCTTTATACATCTAAGGCAATACTACCTAAAGTAACATTATGCAACCCAAAGTCAAACATATTAGGTTTATAAGCACTTTACATTTCTAAGCAATTAATAATAAAACGTTTATTTTTATTTTCCAAAAAAGCAGTACCTATTTGGCGCTTACAACGTTGTTACAGCATATCATTCAATTATTTAATGGGTAGAAGACAAGTCGTAAAAATTAATAGCACATACAGCAGTGAAAAATCATTCAGATTCGATTTGCCACAAGGAACAGTTTTAGGTCCCATTTTATTTACACTCTACATAAATAATATTCTTACATCTTTTTTATCTGAAAAACTAATGTGTTTCGCAGATGATACTGTAATAGATTATGAAGATAAGGACGGGACACACTTAAAAAAGATCTCTTAAAAATTTTTGATATATAAATGTCTAACTGTAAATTAAAAAAACTTTTTTCAATCCCTTTGCTAAAATAATAAAACATTCCCGAATATAAGTAATTAATAGTAAAAAGGGATCAGTTCTGCTTAAAAATAAACACAAAAAAGAGCTGTAAATATTTGGGCATAACTATAGACTCGTTTTTAGGGTGGAGTGCCCACATTAGTAATGTAACAAAAACATTAAGACAACTTCTTTATCGATTTAAATATTTAAAGTGCATCCTTAAACTAATGTACTTTAACATCTTAGACTAATACACCTACAAATTTTATAATATTCCTTAGTGGAATCACGACTGAATTATGATATACTCAGTTGGAGCGGAGCTGCTTACTGTCATTTAAAACAAATATTCTACAGAAAAAAAAATATTAAAAATAATTTATAGTAAAAAAATCACATTACCATCTAACTTATTATTTTTGAAATTGGTATTTTGGATATAAGACAGCTCTTTATGCAACAAATAATAATGTACTGACATAAAAACAAAAATATTTAAAAACAAATTATTCACTGTCACTCGTATAAGATATTAAAAAAATAATTTTTTCTACACCCACATGGATATTAGCTTATCTACGCACAGATTACAAAACGAAAAAGTATGCTATTGCCTTCAACTGAACGAATATATTTCACATCCATTCTAGGTAGTGAGAATACTGCAAAAAAATGAAATCCACCAATCACTGTTCATATTTTGATAACCGACTGCTATTATTTTTAAAATTTTAAATAAGTGACAATTCTGTCAAACTAATTCTAGGTATATTTTTTAGTTATTGAGATTAAACTTACATTAAAATGAGTTATTCTTGTGTAGAATCGATAAATAATAGAATTTATATTTTTATTTCGTCTATAATTATTAATAATTTGTTAATTTAAATAAAACTATATGAAGTCAATTTAATTACAAGTATTAAAGCAAAAAAAATAAACGCGCAGATGGTCCTGTGGTCAGAGTTCTTGCCTTCCATACGGAAGACTTGAGTTCAAATCTCAGATGAAGATAAATGAAATTAATTTTTTTTCTTTTCTTTTTCTTGTTTATTTTATTTTATAAATTAGTAAAAGTCATAAATTATTTTTAAATTAATTATTTTATCTTGATAACCTAAAATAATTTTTAATATTTGTAGATTTTCGTTAGTGGGTCGTAGAAAAAATATACTGTACAACTCGAGTGGATTGTCCATATCGCACTTAAATGATTAATCATTTCTTCTTCGTGCGATATGGCCATCATATCAACTCTTGTTGCACAAACTACTATACTGATGTTAGATATTATGTAGAAAAAAATGTTAGCCTCAAAAGTTATACTCGCCTAGCATTCAAAATATATAATAATTTATCAGAAATTTATAGAATACTAGCTTTTACCCGCGGCTTCGCTCGCATTTAGGAAGTTAAATAAGTATCAGAGATCATTACAATAGAAATGAATCAACATGAAGAGGCGTTTCAGCTGCTCTCAAAACACTTTGTCGCTGTGCTTGCTGTTGTCTTCTCAGCTCTGCGTCAACCGAAGATTCGTGATTTCGTGCAACTTTGGCTGCTCGGGCCCGGGACGAATTTTTCGATAGATCAGATTTCCGCTTCCGAGGAATATTTGAAGAACAGAGCAAGAATTAAAATCAGTGAGTGAGATCTAGAATAATGAAGTGACATGTAACCACAAAAATGACACCTAACCTCAAAAATTCAATAGTTTTATACTTCATAGAATAATGACAGAAGAAAATAACAACAAATATAGAAAAATTTCAAACAGCTGAAACTATACTCAATTGGATTGAATATTGACGTGACCGTCGGTAATACAATACGACGATATTACAGTACTCAGGGTTGAAACTTCATTACTAGAATGCTAGATGGCGTTGAAGTAGCTAGATTTTTAAATTTCTTGACAAACATTCGCCAGTTTCACCCCCTGAACGGAAAGAGGGGTCGAATATATTTAAAACTCGGGGGTTATAATCTAAGTAAAAATACCTCCAAAATAAGATATCATTCGACACCTCTTTCCATTTAAGATTTTAGGGGCGAGTCTCACCCGCGCAAGAAGGTTTCCGTTCAGGGGGTGAAACTGAAAAAAAAATGTTTCCACTTAAATCAAAAATTGACGGGTCCGAGCGTTTTTTCGTAAATGACCTGGGGTGTCCAAAATTGGCTCTGTTTCGTTTTCAAATGGTCACCCTGTATATCAAGCACTGAAATGTAAATTAGTCGCATTTGAAGAAGTTGTACTTCAAAACAATTATCATGAGTAATTTTTAATTATATTTTTTTTTTTTAAATAAAAATGTTTGTGAAAATCTACAAAGTTTAGTTTTTCTCATTTTAAAAAATTCTTGTCCACGATTGACGTATGTATATTTCACTCAAAACACCCTATATATAATTTTTTGATTTTAAAATGTATATATCTGTAAATATAATAGTATAAGATATGCAGGCAACATATCCCACAAGTTCCTAAAATTAACGAAAATGCCTGTCTAAATCGAGTTTGAGTTGTAAGTCATTTGATATTTTCATTTCAGTTTATTACCATACTTACCAACCCTCATGGATCGCATATTTGTGGCTTTGGATCCGGTTGGTTTTTCCCTTCAATTGAAAAGAGTAGCGTTAAGTACTTTAGGCTCTGTGGCGAGTGCAGTTAAAGAAGGACTAATGCCGTATTTTCCAAAAGTTATAGAAATCTTGAAAATTTACATAAACTCTGATCCTAATGCAGAAATCCATCAAATTCAATGTTATGCAATAGGTAAATATAACTTTTTTTTTATTTGCTTGAGAATTTAATATTTCCACAGTATGACATAATCCTAAAAATTTTACTCATTTATAGTTTTGTTTTATTAAGAGCAAACATGACGGGCGCTCCTCCGCCAAAAATCAGGCCAATCGTTGTAAAAATGAACCAAGAATTTCGCTAAACCGCGAAAAACTTATATTTTTAAAGAAAAACAAAAATTTCAACTTTTTAACAAATTTAATTTTTTGGCTCTTTACCGGCATTCTATAACAAATATCTTAACTATTTTCTAAATAACTTTTTTTCAAAAAGATTACCAATTTTAAACAGGACCGAAGATTAACATAGTTTTCATTCCGATACTAATTCTATTAAAACAATGATACCAGTGAATATGGCAACGCTGCTAGTCTATGAAGCCCGTGGTTAAAAGGGTAGCTGCTGTTTAGTTAAATTTGTTAATTCCTGTGTCGAAAAATAGGTAGTTGTTTTTGAAGAGGTGCGAAATTATTGTGATCGTCTTAGTTTGTTGTTGAGGCGTTGTTAGGTTTTTGTTTAATTTAGTTTTTAGTTAATTTATGAAATGAAAAATTCTGGAAGGCAAAAATGCACAGCTGACAAATTTCTATTTTATTTGTTTGCTGCCAGAATTAGTAAATACTAGAAAAATACGACATGTGCCAATTAGGGAAAAAAGATTGTCAAGAATTTTGCACGCTTAAAAAAATGTGTAATATACAGGGTGTTTCTAAATACATGCGACAAAATTCAGGAACTGATTGCTCGTATGAAATTAAGATGGGTCTTTCCTATAACAAAATTTCCTCAGCCCACCCCTTTTCGAGATATCACCCTTAAAAGGTGGTGACTAAAATTGAGTTTCTATTTTTTTTCTAAAATTTCAGTATAGCTAGAAACTTGAAATTCTGTAATCGCAAAGGACTAACCACGGGTATTTTTTCAATATTTCTGTTACATTATAGGGGGGTGAAATTAGCAACACTTACTTTATTTCATATCAAAACTTTTTTCGAGATGAACTTTTATGAAATCCTTGTTTTATTTAATTTTTTTTTATTCTTTAATTTTTTTCCCAAAACCAATAGCTTTAGAGAAAAAAAAATAACACCCTAATTTATTATTATTTTTTTTTAATAAATTGAGTGGAAAACAGTGTAACGGGCTTGTAACTATCGTATCGTACACTCTGTCATTATTCGTTTCTTGCAATAATTTACACCAGTTTACACCAGAAGATAGCACTTAACGAAGCGTTTTAGCCACTAATTTTGGCGAATTTTAAGAAATCATGAAAAATTTTTTAATACAGACTTTAATAAATTGTTATATTAATATACTTATTTAATTGTACTTATATTTGTTGTTCCTTTAATACAATAAATACAATTTAATTATCTCCAATTCATCACTTTCCGTATCCAAATACCTAGGGTCCGATTACAATTAGAAAAACACCGCTACGTCATAACTATTATTTCGAATTTCCAATATACAGGGTGTCCCGAAATTAGACGGTCATATTTTAACAGCGTAATCTATATCCTACAAGTATTAGAAATTAAAAATTAAAAAACCGAATTCAAAAACGTGCAGATGCCGTCACCACATCTTAACCAAATTTATATAGGATCACCCCTGAGGTACCCCCTTACTACCAAAAAAATAATCATATAAATCGGACAAGGTGGTAAAGCATTATCGCTAAACATACATAAAAAATGAAGAGTTTGAGGATTTTCTCATGGGCCCAATTATTAGATTTTGACCAAATTTATATGGAACCACCCCTGAAGTACCCTCTTTCTAACAAAAAAAGAATCATTGAAATCGGACACCGTGTTAAAGCAGTATCGCTGAACATACATAAAAAAAATAAAAAAAAAATATTGCGACGAATTTAGAACCTCCCTCCTCCTTTTATGAAGTCGGTTAAAAATAGTAGTAAAAGTTTATATAAACATAGGTCCGAAAACGTTTCGTTTTCGAGATACAGGGTGTTACAAGTGAAGTCCAGATGAAATATTTTCTAAAATTTCTTTAGTTACCGGTTTTTCAAAGTTAAAAAAAAAAATAAAATTTCTAATTCTACAGACCTACTAATTATTGTTTACACTTTTGAATAAGGTAACATGCTTTTCTCTTGAAAATGGCGCGTCCTAGCGAGATGCAACAAATGTAGCTTTATTATACAGAAAATATTGGTTTTCCAAATTTTATAGTCAAAAAATCTGATGACTTTCCTATCTAGTTATAGGCTTTTTCTGGTTATTTTGTACAACTTATTGCAGTACCTCTATAAATGTTTAGAGGATAAACTAAATATATACATTTTCCACATACATCTGTCTACCTCGAAACATTTTTCTATAGTTATTCATTGAAAACGAAAATACTGAAAAATTTAAATTTAGCAATTTTCCTACAATTTTTCCATTACGGTCCATTTTAGAAAAATCATGTATAAACAAAAATTATAGAGATCGATATCGCAAACAACTTTTAGTTTAGTTTAGAATTTTGCACATTTTGTCAAATTTCTCGAATACGCACCATTTCAGGAAATTTTGACATAAAGCAAAAATTATAGATAATAATATTAGAAGTAACTTTTATTTGAATAATTTTCTTCTCCAAACATAAATAACAGATATATTCCATAAAATATAAAAACGGCCTCCCATAAAGTACCCCCCCAGATGTTCCGACTTTGTCCAAAATCTAATCATTTCACGTCAGGCCGAAAAAAAAACTTAAGTTTAAAATTTAGTGTTTTTCTGTGTATCGGTTCATGAGTTATGGTGGATATAGACACACACGGCAATTTTACCCTAAGCTCCCCCAAATATACCCACCTAAGAAGATGATCAATAACTGGGGTTTAGTCCAATAAATGAAGCGTAAAAAGGTAAGTATTTGTAACAAATTTTACCTAATTATCTTTAAACGTTTAGAAAATATTTACAAAAGTTTGGTATCAGGACTTCACCTTTAACACCCTGTATCTCGAAAAATAAAATTTTTCGGTTCTATGTTTATATGAACTTTTACTACTATTTTAGGATGTAGATTACGCTGTTAAAATATGACCGTCTAATTTCGGGACACCCTGTATATCATCTATAACTATCAATAAATAAAAAATATTTGTTTGGTTTAAAAATAGTATTCCTACATTCGTATATTAACAAGTCACTAACCCCCAGTAGGCGGCGATAGCCAACGAATTATACCTGAATTGTAATCGGACCTACCCAATATGATTACCCTTCAGCGTACGACATACAACATTGCCAAAGGACAATGGGCAGAAATGTATAGGAAATTGCCCCACCTCCAATAAGGATAAGTTATACATCAATTGAAAGATCTTTTTAACGAGAACATTTCTCTTCATTACGACTCATCTCAATTACTTGTCCGTTCCGAGTTATACCATCCTAAATGTAACTAATTGCAGGATAGGCCAGCGCTTATAATGTTATTGTAGTGCTTAATTACAGGAGAATAATAGTAAATATTACTTCTTAGTAATATATAAACAATTATAATATCCGGGTATATCATGAGATGCTGTCGAGGATTTTATCCACCACGTGTATCCCTTACCAAAGGGCCTCTACGTGTTGGTTACACAGCCCCACATATGCTATCCAAAGAGCTGGGACCAATGGTTTAAGACCAAGGTACTGGACTAACATAATAATACAATCATAAATATTATTACCCCATTTACATTAGAACGAATATAAAGCCATTTATAATACATACAGGGTGCGGCATCCTATACACGTCGGTCCAGATTATGACATGATTTTTTTAAAATTACTTTTATACAGAAAGATGAATATCTATTGGAGCTCTAATTAAAAAATATTTTGGAATTCACAGTGTGATTCAAAAAGTTTTTATCTAAAAAGTATTAACATTGAAAAATTTTAAACATTACAACCGTTTTAATTACTTAGTACAATATAATATCAATACAAAATGAAAGTAATAGGTAGAAGGCAATTCCCATGCTAGCTAGTACATGGCTTGCATGAAAAATGCTTTTCAGCTAAACTAAAGTTAGATTATATCGCATATAATTTGGCAACTATGCATTTTTTTCAATTCGAGATTTGAGTTTTTGTTTAGTTGTTACAATGACAAGTGTCCCCATGGCAACAGTTGTTCCGAAACTGACCTCAGCGAAAGTTAAATTAAATCATCTATAAGTTGGCAACTATGCATTTCCATACCACTGAAGTTGGGTTTTTTCTTTAGTCGTTACCATGACAACTGTTTCTATGCCAACAATTTTTCCGTAACTGATTTCAGCTAAACTATAGTTAAATTAAAGCATCTACAACTTGGCAACTACTCATTTTCTTACCACGGTATTTGGGATTTTCTTTACTTGTTACCATAATAAGTAACCCTATGTCAACAGTTTATCCTTAACTGATTTTAGCTAAATTAAATTATCTATAACTTGACAACTACGCGTTTCCTCATCACATGATTTAGCTTTTGTTTAGTCGTTACCATAACAAGCGTCCCTATGGCAACAGTTTCCCATGACTGATTACAGCTAAACCAAAGTTTAATTAAATCATATAACTTGGTAACTACGCATTTCTTCACCACAAGATTTGGATGTTTGTTTAGTCATTACTATGACAAATGTTCCCATGGCAACAGTTTCTCCACAACTGATTTTAACTAAACTAAAATGAAAATTAAATCATCTATAACTTGGCAACTTCGCATTTCCTCACCACGGGATTTGGGTGTTTGTTTAGTCGTTACTATGCCAGCCTGGGGGGGGGGGGGACAGAATTTATGTCAGCACCCACTAACAAAAGAACTTTCAGAGTTAACATAGGGGGATTTTAATAACAAAAAAAAACCTGTGTTTTGTCACATGCACTATCATACAGTGTTTCTACTTAAGTCGGAACCATATGGATAACTTTTTTTATTACTGGTTTTGTGAAAAAAAATCATATGTGATAAAAAGTTCTACATGGTCCAAAACATAAAATGCAACCATCAGATATCAAATTTTTTTAAGCCGTATACGAGGTTTGTCAAAAAATATGAATTTTACTCAAGAGTAAAGTGCCTTTATTTTTTACAATACAGAAGAATGTTATAAAATAAAGGTATTTTATGAATTAAAAATATGCAATTGTAACCATTTAACATTAAAATTCAGGATGGGTGATTATTTAATTTACAAATAATGTATAATGTAAAACGTAAATAATCACCTAACCTGAATTTTTGTGTTAAATGACTGTAATTAAATATTTGGATATAACTTTTAATTCTAAATAACTTTACCTTATAACATTCTTCTGTATTTTAAAAAATAAGGTACTAGTGTTGAGTAAACTTCATATTTTTTGACAAACCTCGTATACGGCTTAAAAAATTGATATCTGATGATTGCATTTTAAGTTTTGGACCATGCAGAACTTCTTATCAACAATAATTTTTGTCAAAAAACCAGTATTAAAAAAGTTTTCCATATGGTTTCAAATTAAGTAGACACACTGTATAACTCGGAACGGACAGACAATTGAGAGAAATCATAATAAAAACAAATGTTCTCCTTATAGATATCTTTCATTTGGCATATATCTTATTCCTATTGGGAGGTGGGGCAAAAATGCCCATTCTCCTTTATGTAGCGAACAAGGTTCCAAATACTTTAAGGGGAGGTTGTGAGATTCGTGCGGTGTGACGTCAGAAGGGACTGGATTGCTCTTAATATTTAACACAAATATTAAATTTGCCTCTTCATTTGTTTTATATACAGGGTGGCTCACGCTCAACGGGACGGAGCTTTATGGGAAAACGACCAAAGATATAAAAAATTCGTTTGGGAGGAATACGTAGGTTACAGACGGCTACAATTTAAAATTTGTTAGATGTATACAGGATGTCCCACATAAGAAAAAAAAAAATTAGTTCATTAAAAATTATTCAAACAAGAGTAAACAATTAATTTCTGGGAGACTTTTTTTCCTTAAAAATTTGAATAAATCGAGAACTAATAATAATAGTAATAGGGAACCTTTAGTTAACTGACATTATTTTTGATGTAGTTTTTAATTCTAAAATAAAAAACAGGGTGTTCCATTAAAAATAATATAACTTTGTATATTTTCTCTTATGTGGGACATCCTGTATACATCTAACAAATTTTAAATTGTAGCCGTCTGTAACCTACGTATTCCTCCCAAACGAATTTTTTATATCTTTGGTCGTTTTCCCATAAAGCTCCGTCCCGTTGAGCGTGAGCCACCCTGTATACAGGTCCTAAAAGCTTTTTTGTTTGTAGAATCATTGGCGGTGGTAGCTCAATTTATAGGCGTTGAAAACTTTAAACCACTTACCGGAGACTGTTTGCAATTGGGTCTAAGAATTTTAGACTCTACTTCGGATCCTGACATAAACAAAAGTGTCTACGCACTTTTCGCAGCTTTAGCAATTAATATGAAAGAGGAACTTGGACCAGTTTTGCCGAAAATTGTCAATGAGATGATCACTAGTATACAGAGTAGTGAAGGAATCGTGGTAAGTAAAATTTTGTTTTTAAATCATTTTAAAAACAAAATATTTGTGGATGTTTTAACTTTTTGTGGGCTTCCTCTCTCCTCTTGGTTTATATTTTTTTTAATTGCCAAAACAGACTCACTATGACGATGAGGACAAAGACGAAATTGACGTTTATGCAGACCTGTCAGATGAAGAGGAAGACATTGAAGAAGACATTGATGGATCGTCCTCTGGCAGTGACGACTCTACACAATGTCGATACTCAGTTGAAAATTCTTATAATGAAGAAAAAGAACAAGCATGCTTATCGTTGAAGGATATTTGCATTAATACAGGGTAAAATGTTTTTATTTTTTCGTTATTTTGTTTCCATGAATTAATTTTACGAGGCGACGCACACTGGGGCAACAAGCCATCAAAGTTGGCAATAAATCACAGACTTTCTTTATGAATTTGTAAGTTAAATATTGCTTTGTAAAGGTGTTAGTATTACAAATGAAAATACATAGAGGGCTTATAAAGTGTTTGTTTGATAAAAAAATAGAAAGTTATTAAGAATATAATATAATAAAAATGTATATTCTATTCTTAATATCTTTCTATTTTTTTTTTAGCAAATAAACACTTTATAAGCCATCTATGTATTTTCTTTTGTAATACTAACATATAATATAATAAAAATGTCATGAGCCTAATGAGGGCCTAAGTGCCGTGGGGGTAATCCACTCTCCACACGTTAAAGATACAGATAATAAAAATGTAATATAATAATTTCATTTAGAAAAGCTATGATAATTGTAATCAAATTTCATTCTCTTTAGAATGTGATAAGACATTTTCTTCATCGTCTCCACGGTCATCATCAGTGTCATGAATATACCATGGCTATGAAGCTAGACGAGTCCAGATTTAAATAAATCTACTGCTTCTTTAGGAAAGTGCTGCAGGTTCTTTCTTTTTTAATTTTCGTTTGCTCGTGATTACAAGGTCGAAACTAAGTAAAAACGAATTAAAGACATCCTCATTAGTTTTCTCTGTTAATTGGTCTCTAGGCAAAAAAGCAGAAGATATTATTTTAGGCCCATGAATAAAGTATTTGTGCAATGTCGGAGGCATATTGACCGTGGGTACTTTTCAACAAAGTATCTAACGGTATTGTGAGCAAATTCTATTAATTTCATTCTTTCCAGAACTTCTCATGATATTAAGAAGTTTCTTTCTCGATAAAAACATAGTGGTCGGAAAGTATATTTACATACCTACCAAATCAGATCCATTGAGTACAAATCGGTCAAAAATTAAAATAGCAGCGTTGCAAAGCATAATAATGTTTTATTACAGCCTTCTATGAAAACATAAAAACCAGACAACTTTGATTGTCTATATCTTACGATTGAATGGACCAATCGTGCTCGGAGAGGTCTTAAAATAAAGAAAATACGTTAGATATTTAACTTTTGTTATTAGATTTTATATTTAATTTATAATTATTACGCAAAACGAGCTTAAAATGGGTTACTTTTAGGCTCGTTTTTTTTTCTTTAATTAGGTCGGCCATCTTAAATTTTACATTTCTAGCATTTTGTTATGTCTATCTGGGAGCATATTTAGTTGCCTATAAAATGAACCTAAGGACAATAAAATCGATTTATTAATAAACGAAATATATTAAAAAAAACAGAATTCGTTTTTGATGATCGTCCCGCCATATATTTATATACTTTGAAAAAACCCAAATAGTGAAGAAAAGTGCAAATAAGTGCACAGAAACTAAACGATTTCGAAAAGTACAAACAATATTCATTATGAAAAGTCGAAATTTAAAGCTTGGACTGCTTTGGAACACAACAAATAGCCTTCATGTATTTAAGAACATTTTAAAATTTTAAAATTTAACCTTCATTTTACTTAACCCCACAATTATAAGATTACGTTTATTTTTCTACAACTTTTTACTTATTAAAATAATAATACATAGCTGAACTTAAAGGCTCCATGGCGGAAATTTGAAAAAAAAAATCAAAATACAGTCTAATCATAGTACAAAAACAAGTTAAAAACTACAAAAATAACAATGAATATATTATACTCGCCTCAGATAAGTAACTTTGACTGAAGGTGGCGATGAAACGCGTGAGACAGAAGATCGCACTTGTTCGTTTTATTATGTAGTGGACAGTAATATATAAGAAAAAAATATGAGGTAGAGTGTATATGCTATTTAATTTTTTTATTTATTGCCAAGTTTGAGGGCTTGTTGCGACGTCAAAAAAATACCTTCATTACCATTATTAAAAATCACACATTACAAAATTCTGAAACTATCAGAACGACACTTGGTATTTATCTTCGTCTTGGCAGTTAAATCGGCGGTATCGGTGCGTATTAAATAACTATTGAGTCATATTGCTTTACCGTATATTCAATTTTCCGACGCCGGTCTGATATAGAAATTTTAAAAACACTTATTTTAAATTTTTCCTAAATTTCTGAAAAAAGCCAAAAAAATTTCACGTTTTTTAGTTTCCCAGTCCCCCTATTATAAAAACCCTATCATGTAATGTATCAATCGACGCGTCTCGTCTAGCCGGATAATTCTTCAAAGGTATTTTAGCTCTATCTCCCCTTAGCAAAGTTTTTCCTGGAAAAGCGTTTGACCCAAAATTTTCACCAATTTCTTGTGAAATGTGTTCAGCAGGAAAATTTCGATGCCAGCAGCCCTATTCTTGCAAATTTAAAGGTCACTCGTGAAGTTTGACATTACAAACGAAATAGCAAAATATGTATTTTTGACTAAACAATATAATTTAGAAAAAAAAATACAAAACTCATCATGATCTCTTATCCACTATAAAACTACGGAATGAAAATCTTTTTAAAGGAAGTGAAACGAACTGAACATTTTATTTTTATGAACATTGGTACTTGTCAAGGGTTAAAAATAATTAAAAATTTAAAACGTCACATGATAAAATAACAGTTGTTCTAAAAATATACGAGCCTACATTACAACAGCGTTTAATAAAATTTGGTACAACTTTTTTTTATTGTTTAAGAAGCAAGATGGACACTGAAACTAAACAACAAATGATTTGAATGATTTAAATTTGAAAAAACAAACAATTTATTTTTTAAAGTGCTGCCCTCTAGTAGAGAATGGGCAAACTATAGTTTAAATGTTTTCAAAAATTTGTTTAATGTACAAATAACGGAACTAACCACTAGGTGGAAATCCAAAACATTTTTTTTAAATAATTGAAAAATGACAAAACAGAAAAAATAAAAAAATGTGGGGACATAAGACGAAAATTTGATAAAAAATAATTTTTTGGTATTTGATTTGGTAAATGTATCTGGTAGAAAAAACAGCACAATACATTTTTTAAAATATTGAACCTTGTTTATCAGCAAATAAAAAAAATTGATCAACAATTGCGTTTTCATTCAACTCAGAAAAAAAGCGTCACACCTCAAAAAAATACATTTCTGAGATAATTCCATAAATCGATCAGAAATTAAACAGCCTACCTTCTAAAGAAGGGTTATTTTTTTACTAATACTTGCTAGTACTTACTAATACAAGAGTCTCCAAACTTTCCATCCTTAGGGCCATACTGATTACTCCAGTAAGTTCCAAGGGCCAAAACCATTTTAATTATTCTGCAATTATCTACAATTTTTAGACTAGTCGCCCAGTACGCGCCCTGAGGGAGCATACGCTTGCTAAATTCAGTAGTTTTATTACTATTGTGTATTGTTACGACCGTGAAACTTTACGAAATCTGTTGGTCAAAAGCGGAAATAGGTAGTGGTAGTACCCTCTATCACTAACAGCCGGTGCTAGTAGTACTTTCGAAATCGCAGTAACAATTAAACATTCGTGAATAACCTCAGTGGTTTGAGAAAGTTCTGGTGTATTCCACTCACTTCGAGATGGCATTAATTGGAGTACAAAAAGGATAGCGGGATGTTCACTAGTTTATAATGTTAGTGGGATTTAGTTCAATTATTTGGTAATAATTATACTTAAATTAAATTTTCTGCTTATTACACTTAAGCTATACCTAGCAAGAACATAAATCAGAGTTATTATCATTCTGTTTTTTTTTTATCCAACTTATCACAACAATAAGTCATAAGTTGTCGCGGGCTGGACTAATGACACTGGCGGGCCGGCTTTGGCCCGCGGGTGGTAGTTTGGAGATCCCTGTACTAATACATTACTAATCTTCAAAAAATAAGATGTAATGACTGGCATTATCTTTAATCGATTTTCTCGAAACTATATTTTTTGAGTTGTGACGCCTTTTTAACGGGTGTGCGATATGATTTTCGGCAAATAACTTAAATAATCAATTCTTTTAAATATATTCAGTACACTCCATCTAATCAAAAAGACTTACGAGATGAATTAAATATATACATTTTCCTCACACATATTATTTGAAACAATTTTACATCTTTATTGTCAATGAAATTAGAGAACAAATAAAATTTCTTGAGTACGGTCCATTCTAGAGAAATTATGTATAGGACAAAAATTATAGAGAATAACATCACAAGCAACTTTTATTTGAAAAATTTTCTTCTCCAAGCTCAAATAACAGATTTTGTTTAAAGTAGAAAAACGACCATCTATAAAGTAATCCCCAGGTGTTGCAAATATGCCCAAAATCTAATCGTTTTACCTTTTTAGTCACTCTCAACACTGCCTATCGCTCGTGCCTACTAGTGCCTATGCTATTAATGCACATGGCAGCGACGACGAAATCATTTACAAACACATATTTTATGTGTTCATAGAAACACAATATTTATTATGATGGTCAAGCGGAAGACGCTCAAATACTACATCCTTTATCTTAGCCAGTATGGTCTGTATATGTACAGTGCAAATTCAACCTAATTTCGCATCTAAAATAGATTTACTCCCATAAGAAATATGTTATATTCTCCTAAATGGTTTTCAGTAAAAGACAGGTTACTTTATTTTTTCATGATTTTGGTTTATAAAATTGTAAATCAGATTGATAGCTCCAGAATATTTGCAACAATATATCACTTTCAACAAAGATGTTCATTCACACAGCACAAAAAATATTTATAACATATATATTTTAAAGTTTTCTCAGATTTTAACAACTTACCCATAGATGTAAAAAAATCAACGGAATTAGGGGTTTTCTGACGCAATGAGTCACTGAAAGAATTTTATGGGAATTCCCTTACTTCTAGCAAACATATCTTAACGGGAAAAGTACCACCAGACAAAAGAGTTTAATATCTTTATAAATATATAATTAATTCACATTCAAAAATGAAAGTGAACGGGCCCATTCGTGCCGCAACAATAGGATTTATGGCCATTTTAAGACAATGACAATCAATGGAATAATTTGCAATAGAGGAATAAAACCACGGAAACAAAAAATATGCTGATAATGGATTTTAGGAATTTGGGTGGGAAGTCCTTTTTTGTTAAACGCTTATCGAAATAAAAAAACATTTTTTTATTCGAACAATCACGACAGAATCATTGCATAAAGTTAGTAAAATATGTTACGAGCGAAAAGAATCCAAAACAGCCAAACAGTTTAAATGATTTTTTTAATTCGAACGATACTTCCTCCTTTTGAAAGGTAACGTCATTTTACTTAATGTTTTTATGTACTTCTTACGTAGTTGCATATCTCAATATTATTTAAAAAATAAATCAATTCACCATATAGCTGCAGCTTATGGCACCACATTGAAGAAATATTTAGAATGAACGCTGAGTATTCTGTTCAATATTGTTTCAATACATTTTTTTGATGACGTTTTTTAAGGTTTTCAATTGACTCTGCCTCGTATTTAAAATTATAATTGTTTAGTTTGTATTATTTCTCTTTTATAATATTTAAATCTCTTTTCAGACCTGCTTTTTACCCTTACATCGAAAAATGCTTCGAAGAAATTTTCAAATTGATTCACTATCCTCAGGACGACATAAGAGTCGCTTCGGTCGAAGCGCTTCTCCATTTCTGCGTTGCTCTCCACAAATACGGTAATCCAGAAAACAAACAAACGTTCTACAGAGCGTTGCAAATGTTCGTGCCAAAATGCGCCGAGTTGATAAGAGTAGATGAAGAGAGAAGTGTGGTTATGGTTTGTTTGGAGGCTTACGCTACGTTGTTGGAAGAAGTTAAGGGTGAAGTATTTGTTATTGATGGACATAGAGAGGCTATTATGAATTGCGTTATAGATGTATTAAATTTGAAGGTAAGAATTTTTTAACAATAACAAATCATTGACTGTTTATTTTTAGTTAGAAATATTGAAGACAAATTAAGTATATGGGTTCAATCAAAAAGTCATGACGAAACAAAGTTGCTCTTTCTTAAATGGAACACCCTATATATTATTCCATCATGATGTGCTACAGAATTTTGTTAAAAATGTTGAGATGAATTGAAATATGGGATAATATTATTAAAGAAAAAGCAACTTTCTTTCGTCATGACTTTTTACTGACCATGTGTATTTGATATCTTTTTTGTAATAGATTATAAAAACCCTCAAACTTTTTTCGCTAGCTACCTTACTTTGGAAAATAATCCATCGTTTCCATACATATTAGTTTGTATATCAAAAAAATAAAAAAATTGCTTGATTGCTAAGAAATAAAAAAATGAAAATAAGTAAAAAATATTAATTGCATTTATAATTTTTTAGCACTTCAAAAATATCTTTTAATCCTGAAAACTAAACACTAAAGTCTACACTAAAATTCTTAATTTAAATAATAATAGAGGTTACATTTTAATTAAAAAACTTATAATCCGATATTGAATTATGATAGCTTATTTTGTAGGTTAATTTTAAAAATCTTACAGTCATCTGCACAGTTCTAATGTACTTAATCGATCTAGGAACAATCAAAGACGAATATTATCTATCAAATTATTTAAAAATTAATCAGTTTCACTAATTATAACATTACAATTTTAAAAAAGACAACAACTACTAGTCAACTACTAATCCATTTATTCACAATTAGGCCCGTATTTATTGCAATCATCCAGATTGTGATTTATATTACACAGAGCTGCTGCAGTAGAAAGAACGAGATGACTGCTAATTTGGACGGGCATGTGTTTTATGAATGAATCAGTACTTACATCTTCGACACTACTGTCACACTTCAAAATTAATTGTATACTTTTCTGAAAATCGCTTTCGACTATGATAGTTGTGACTAGAAAAATACATTAAACTGATAATAACTGGCATTAAGAATGCAAATATGCTTCATTTTGTGCGTTTTAGAGCCTTATGTTAAGTCAGTCCCATAACACTTTGTAATCAGTCTAGTAGTTGTTCATCCTTGTATTATAATGTCTTTGGGGTCATATGATGGTGGGTGAGGTTTTCCGGATTTTTATCAGCTTTCAGTCAAATGGCACAATCACTCATCTTTAAGGCTCCCCGGAGCACCATGGCAAATAATAATAATCTCCGTCCCTTCCCCACACAAGCTTAGTCGGCTTTAGGGGTTGAAATTCACTCGTAAGGAGGTGAATTAGGGAGAGTATTGGGAACATTTCTGGCAAGGTGTATTAGGTTAAGGGGATTCTTACTTTTGAAAATAGGCTTAAATTTGAAGGATTTTTAGAAAGGAATTGAAACTGATCTAGTTATCGCATGTTATATAAACAACTGAAACTAGAAGTCGGCTTAAACTCGTCCAACTTCAAAAAATTATTACGCATATATTTTCATTAATATAAAAAAAAAAACGAAAGAAGAGCAGACTTGTTTTATATGTTCTTAATATGCTTCTAAAATTTCAAATAATTTGATGCATTAGAATTGCCACAATTCCATTTTAAAAATGCTTCGTTTTTTAATGCAAAATCCAAGCGTATGCTCCTCTATCCTTCGCATGCTTTCTTTTTTGTCATGGAGAATGAAAACTTTAATATTAAAAGGACACTTTAAATGTTATATCGATTTCATGAAACAAATTTATTGAAAAAGTACACTTTAAAGCGTCGTTTATCTAAATACCCTATTCTGCTCCTTTAGAAGCTTTAAAGCGTTCTTTTTCTAATGACATTTGAAAGTTTTTCGTTTTGATTGAGAATTTTTTATGACATCGCGCCCGTTGTTTGGTTTAATTTGATGTGAGTATACAAACAAATAACTTTATTTGAAATTGTTTAATTTTGATTTTTACAGTTGTCGTCACTTGAATTATATCATTGAAACGTAAAGTCAGTGATTTCCAAGTTCTATTTTGAAAAATATTTTCATATTTAATATGATAAAAATGGTATTCTAGCTGTACCAACCTTTTCAACATTGTTTATTTTATCTGTTGTAAAAAAATACTATAAAATATATTGAAACAATTTTGCTTTTAAATAACTGATCTAAACTTTTATTTTTCCCAGAAAAACCCTTTTTCACGATGGGACATATTGACATATAGTATAATTTCGGAAATTCCAAACTAAAATTTAAAATGGATTTAACGCAATGATTTGTAATTAGATATAGGTACTCTGAGGTTCGTACTTTCGATAAAAGGGTTCTTAGACTAGCTAATAGGATTACCCATAACATTACCCTACTTCCTGTGTCCTACACTGCAGGTATTAATTCCTAGAATAATTAAATTTCAAATCGTTCAATTTCTTTTTCACCTACTTTGAAAAAACCCGAAGAGCTTACATGTTATCTATCATTTTACAAATATCGTGTTAAATAAATATTTATACTTTATAATTAAATATAAAACATTTTTGAATCCAAAACATTTTATAGGAAAATTAACATTTTATTGGCTAATATTCCGGTGAATGTTAGAATTAAACATAGATAGATCAGCAATACCAACATGGTAAAATTTTGTTAAAGCATGTTTTAGTGAAAGTACATTAGGAAAACCATTATGAAATGACATTTTCTAAAGGAGGCTTTAAAGTGAACTTTAAATAGAAGCTTCCTTTGTTTAAATCCGCCTTTAGGGTTCTATTATGAAATAGGCCCTAATATGGATGAATTAAAGTACCTACCTATTTATCGTGCGGTATCAAATTGGGGTGGCAAAAAACTGATCGAAAAACATTTGCCAAGCTTAAATTTACATTTTTCCATTAACAGTGTCATTTTAAGCTTTACTTATTTCTTAACGATTAGCAGTGCAAATGGGCCATATACTCATTAGACCTCATATCGCCATATTATATGAAAATTGTTATCGCCATTATAAGAAGTACTTTGACAAGGTCAAATAGACCCCTTACCGCAGTTAATTTGTTATTGTTATAGTTATGTTTACGATTATTCCTCCGTTGAATTATTCTTATGCAATTATTATGTTGTACAGGAAGCCTAGTTTTATCATCACCAACTAATCGAACTGTCCAAACTCAATTGATTGGTAAAAGTCAATAGTGTCAGACCGAAACAAGGTTTTATGACCGAATTTCTCAGTTTTGACTGAAACAGAAACTTTCTTTTTAGGCAATATCTTATTGTAATCCTAGTTTTAGACCTAATTAACTCGTATTGTAAATGTTAACTACACCTACTTATTTATGTGATTAAAAAAGCCATTAATAAATTTATTAAGTTTTATTTTTTATTACTTTTTGAAATAAAGAAAAGTAAGTGAATTACAAAGTAGCAATCGTTGCTACATCTGTAGTGGATTTTATTTAACAAAAAATAGTATTATAACAGGTATTGTAGTTATGGAGTTACCAACAAAGTTAAAAACTATGAAAAACAAAAATTTGTTTTTATTAAAAAAGAAACCGAATACAGCTGATAAAATAAGTTCGTTACTTATAATTAATATTCATAATTAAACAGTCTAATTTTGTAGACTAGAAATATTTTTTCCACGTTTTCTCCTAATAACTTGCTTCTGCGATCCGAATAAATTTGGCCAGGAGAACTGAAAACTGTTCATTTGAAACACAGCAAAGAAGTTTGTGTGCACGTGCACGAGTGTAGGAATGGCATCCGACACGGTCGCCATTGTGCCGAACGCTACCAAACCTGATGCAAAAACTCCCGTAAATAGTTTCGGTTGTAGTTTCGGCCAGTTTTCCGCCGAAACTGAAACTACTGCCGAAACTTTTGTTTTATCCCGGACACTAAAAGTCAAAACAAACTCTAACCAGAGTCAACTCTAACCTTAAGATAGACGTGTAGGGAAAGTCCTACACTTACACCAAAAGTAGGAAAATTTGACGACAAAAATGCTTGAATGTGATTTTTGTATTGTTATAGACGTCTAAAAGCAAATTGCTTCATTGCCAGCAAAAACGAAAAACTCCTTCCATCTATAAAAAAACATTATTTTGAATTTGACAGGTTACACGACAGCTCCCACCATCGGGACATAGTACATGTTGTTCCCCTCCCTCTCCTGTCCCTTACAAAAAATGGTAAATTTTAATAATCTACCATTAAAATAAAAATAATAATATATAAACTATTTTTTAATCTGTAACATGCAACATAACCTACCTATTATACCAATTACACTACCATCTATTTCATTAGAAATGAATTGAATAATACGTACTGTAGCGGTTTGACCGATAATACAGGTTTCTATCGGTGTTTTCCGCTCCATTAAATAAGGTAGAACCAAAAGTATATTAACAGTTGACTAGCGACAGCTGGCGAACCGAATTCTAAAGCGACGACGCGAAATAGAGAGGCGAGACGTCTTCTAGAGATGTAAACAACCCCTTTCACTTTAGTCCGGCAGCTGATATAGGAATTCGTTGTTGTGGATTTATTAGTCAAAAATTGTATTCAGCGACATGTTTAAACAACGCGAAATTTAAAGTTTGAGACAACTCGATTAATAAATAAGAAGGTCCATAAGTAATAATTTCTATTGTTATCAAAAATCAAAACCCTATGCACCTACCAACTTTCAAGTCTCTAGCTCATCCGGACGTAGGTAAAAAAATTGAAATTTATCAATAGTGATATATATATATATATATATATATATATATATATATATATATATATATATATATATAGATTCGTCCTGCCGACTTTGTGACATCATGTCGCAAAAATGTTGGTATCTTTATGACATCCGTTTGCGATGTGACATCCAAATTCGGATGTCACAACGTTTTTGGGGTTCAAACATCATAAAGTAGGTTTAAAAGAGCGCCAAAAAAATTTCAGCTGGATGTCATAATGCCTAATTTTCAATTTTATGTATATATTTAGTTCCAGTG